CCCACCCCCTCTGGCAAGTACATGCACAGTCTCATCTTACACGTAATCTCAAAATCCCACCCCCTCTGGCAAGTACATGCACCGTCTCATCTTACACATCATATCAAAATCCCACCCCCTCTGGCAAGTACATGCACAGTCTCATCTTACACATCATATCAAAATCCCACCCCCTCTGGCAACTACATGCACAGTCTCATCTTCCACGTCATATCAAAATCCCACCCCCTCTGGCAAGTACATGCACAGTCTCATCTTACACGTCATATCAAAATCCCACCCCCTGTGGCAAGTACATGCACAGTCTCATCTTACACGTCATATCAAAATCCCACCCCCTCTGGCAATTACAAGCACAGCCACATTTTACACATCATATCAAAATCCCACCCCCTCTGGCAAGTACATGCACAGTCTCATCTTACACATCATATCAAAATCCCACCCCCTCTGGCAAGTACATGCACAGTCTCATCTTACACGTAATCTCAAAATCCCACCCCCTCTGGCAAGTACATGCACAGTCTCACCTTACACATCATATCAAAATCCCACCCCCTCTGGCAAGTACATGCACAGTCTCATCTTACACGTCATATCAAAAACCCACCCCCTCTGGCAATTACAAGCACAGCCACATTTTACACGTCATATCAAAATCTCACCCCCTCTGGCAAGTACATGCACATTCTCATCTTACACGTCATATCAAAATCCCACCCCCTCTGGCAAGTACATGCACAGTCTCATCTTACACATCATCGAAGGAAGTTTAGAAGTCAAACTTCCGACAATATGGACAGATTAGGCAGAGAGAAGAGAAAGATTAGAAGAGAGAAGATCAGAAGAGAAAGAGTCAGAAGAAAGAAGATGCAGGTGCGCGAAAAGGTAGGAAAGTCGCGAACACTGTGTTTTTTGGTGGTTTTGTGGCTCCGGAGGGTTGAAAAGTAGGCTCGCTAAAGCGGCGGATGCGGAGACATCTGGGGAGATGAGAGATGAACAATTGCACGCCGTTGTGGCGCGAAGCACATTTCGAAGTCAAAATGTACAAAACAGACCAGGTCCGGACCACTTTTGGCAGTTGAGATGTCGAAAAAGTGCACGCCGTTGTGGCGCGAAGCACATTTTGAAGTCAACATGTACAAAACACACCAGGTCCGGACCACTTTTGGCAGTTGAGATGTCGAAAAAGTGCACACCGTTGTGGCGCGAAGCATAGTTGACGGAGCATAGTTTACGAGTCATGGCCGTCTTGGTTTACGAATCATGGTTTACGAGCCATGGTTTATGAGTCATGGTTTACGATCCATAGTTTACGAGCCATGGTTTACGAGCCATGGTTTACGATCCATAGTTTACGAGCCATGGTTTACCGAAGCAGAAGTCAACCCTATCTAGCCTATCTAGCCTATCTATCTATCTATCTATCTATCCTATCTATCCTATCTATCCTATCTATCCTATCTATCCTATCTATCCTATCTATCCTATCTATCCTATCTATCCTATCTATCCTATCTATCCTATCTATCCTATCTATCCTATCTAATCTATCTAATCTATCTAATCTATCTAATCTATCTAATCTATCTAATCTATCTAATCTATCTAATCTATCTAATCTATCTAATCTATCTAATCTATCTAATCTATCTAATCTATCTAATCTATCTAATCTATCTAATCCATCTAATCTATCTAATCTATCTAATCTATCTAATCTATCTAATCTATCTAATCTATCTAATCTATCTAATCTATCTAATCTATCTAATCTATCTAAGCTATCTAATCTATCTAATCTATCTAATCTATCTAATCTATCTAATCTATCTAATCTATCTAATCTATCTCATCTATCTCATCTATCTAATCTATCTAATCTATCTAATCTATCTAATCTATCTAATCTATCTAATCTATCTAATCTATCTAATCTATCTAATCTATCTAATCTATCTAATCTATCTAATCTATCTAATCTATCTAATCTATCTAATCTTATCTATCTATCTATCTGGCTGTCTGTCTATCTATCTACCTGTCTATCTGCAAGCTTGAAAACGAAGCTATTCTGCGAGACTTTTTCATTTTTCAAACTTGGCAATATCAAAAACGAAGCAATTCTGCGAGAAGTCCTTCAAATATGGAAAGTTGCGTGCAGCGCTGACGGCCTCGTACCATTGCGTTTTGCGATTTTTCCAGTCCACCTGTCTAAACTACTGCGCCTGCCACGAAAAAGTGATGCCAGGTCATACGAAGTGCTGCACCTGTCACGCAAAATCATCTCAGCAAACCTGAAGATCTGAGGCTCCAAAATGCAACCCCTTTCAGGAAATCAGCGCCTGGACCTCCTAACAGCTCTGATGAAGATGTCTCTTGTACTGCGCCTGCCACGGAAAATGCATCTTTGCAGATCCTCTTCAAATGTCCCACGCCTGCCATCGTTTTTGGAAATGCACGTTTTTGCTCACTTTTGAGAAGGTGCACAATCCATTGCGCCTGCCACGCGAAACGACATCTGAACGTCCAAAAGTGGCGCGAACATGTGGTGTTTTTAACATTTTGACTTCGAAATGTGCTTCGCGCCACAACGGCGTGCACTTTTTCGACATCTCAACTTCCAAAAGTGGTCCGAAGCTGGTGTGTTTTGTACATTTTGACTTCGAAATGTGCTTCGCACCACAACGACGTGCACTTTTTCGACATCGCAACTTCCAAAAGTGGTCCGAAGCTGGTGTGTTTTGTACATTTTGACTTCGAAACGACAACGGCGTGCACTTTTTCGACATCGCAACTTCCAAAAGTGGTCCGAACCTGGTGTGCTTTGTACATTTTCACTTGGGAATGTGCTTCGCGCCACAACGGCGTGCAATTTTGATCAATTTTGCATCTCTCATCTTGCCAGATGGCTCCGCACCCGCCGCTTTAGCGAGCCTACTTTTCGACCCTCCGGAGCCACAAATCATTGGAAAAACATTGTGTTTCGCGACTTTCCTACCTTTTCTCGCACCTTCATCTTCTTTCTTCTTCTCTTCTCTGATCTTCTCTCTTCTACTCTTCCCTTCTCTGACTCTTCCCATCTCTGCTTTTCATCTGTCCATATTGTCGGAAGTTTGACTTCTAAACTTCCTTCGAATATATCCCATTTTATCCCGACTATATCCGCATTATCCCCATTGTTTAGCCTTCATACCCCCATGATGCTGATCCATGCAAGCAGTGTTCAAAAGCCTCTGTCATTCAATTCTACTGGTTGGTTAGGGATTCCCAAAGCGGACGCAAATCCTGCATTTACTACCCCTTGCCCAGGATGATGCACGGATAGCAACCGTCCAGATGTACAGATGCTTGAGCCAAGAGCCTCTCTTAGACGGACACGCATCACACAGGTAGGAGAAATACAATGCGAAATTTGATGTAATATGCCTGTTCTGCGCTTTGATTTACTTCTGTTTACTTGCTTTTCATATTTTCAAACCCGGCGAAAACAAACCCCAGCGGACTGAATACTTTTGTTTAGGAGTCTTATAGCCACGTTTGTCGCTATGTTTTGATCGCCTTAGTTGATCCAGTCATCAACGCAGACCACCTTACAGATCCAGATTCACACCAGATGTTTGGAGGTCTTGGACATATGTTCACTGGAGGGCATGCTATTAGCTGTTAAACTGCTACAGCCACCAGAGTCACTTAGACATGGAGCTTGCAGTCATTGATGATGTCCGGAAAACGATATTCTTTGCGCGGAGATCTGCAAAGCGGAGGATTGCGCAACTTTTCAATGATTACATGGGTCAAATTTGGGTAAACCATGGTCGGAGATAGATGGATGATGTTGGATTCTTGTTGGAGTGCTTCTAAGAAAATCCAAAAAACCTGGAAGGGAAAAAAATTGGACCCACTGGGCCTAAGGAACCCAAGTCCTGGCCACAAACCCTTCCGGCCGCACATTCGGAGAGACCGTTGGCGGCGGCGGGAGAGCGGGAGCGGGGCGACTTCCAAAGTGGAGTTGAAGACGAAGCAGAAAAGACAGGCACTATCCCCAGAAATTAGCCTCCAGGAATTTTGGGTTTGTCTGAAAATGTCTGAAATATAGGGTATCTCTAAAATGGCCATTGAAAAATTGTGGAAATGATCATGATGAAATTTGGGGGTGCCCTATTCTCAGACCTGACAGTCACCCACATGGCTGAAAATGGATGAACATGGCCGCCATGGCCCATGAAAAAAGAGGTTTACCTCCTAAACATGGTGATTTTCTGCTAAAATTGCCGGGGAGATGATTGGGAATACCACTGCCATCCCATAGCTATTTTAGCTGAATTTTTGGTACCCCAAGTCATGAATAGATCAAATACATTCAAAGGCTGTACATTCCACCAGAGTTTTGTTTCGAGGTATGGATTGAACATGATTACTGTAAACTGAGACTTTTTGGCCATACGGCTGGGTCCCTTTTGGGGCACATGGCTAACCGATGATCTTCTGGTAGACTGCCACGAAAAGGGATCAATATATTAATGGGATATTCCTGCAGGAAATAGATGGAAATAGATGGAACAAATGGTTTGGGATTGGCTTTATCATGCATCCATTTCTTGACTGTTTATAATTTTATATCTGTTTGTAGCACCCCCAAAGGTAGGTTCCGGGTTGGAAACCCGGGAATATGAGGTGAATCTCATCAAAACACCATCCTGGACACACCTTGCTGTGCTCTGGGGAGTACCCTCTGGTAAACAGACACAAAACATCACAAAACTATGATCAATCACCAAAATCACCATTTTCAATGGGTAAATCATCTGATTCTATGGCCATTTTCAATAGTCATGTTAGTTTACCAGAGGGTATATCCATCAATATCCTAGTATTATCCCATCATGATTCCATGATCATCCCATCATTAAACAATATCAAAACCATATTAAAAACCATCATTACTAGAGGCTATTTGACCCAAAAAGTGTTCCAAAGTGTTTCAGAGAATCCAACCCATGGATCCATGGCCCACTGATGGCACGCGCGCCGATCTCGTGCTTCGTGGCTGGATTGGGGAGCAGATGCCGCACAGAAATCGTGCCATGAGGGTCCAACGAGACTTCCCATGATATCTCCATAAAGTGAATGGCTTTATAAGCTAACTATTTTGTTTTATCATAAAGAACACTATATCCTATTGTTGTTAAGTTATATTATATAATATATCATTATATCAAAAATGTAAAATCCATTAAATCCCCAAGCCAAAATCTGTTGCAGACATGTGTAAAACTCCAAACATCTGGATGGTTTTGGCCAAGACATTGTAGACCCGCAGATTTTTTTCGCCGAACTGTCCTTTATGGTGCTGCAGCGCCCACAGATAGGTAGCTCCATTAGATCCTTGATACGCCAAATTGATCATGTTGATCCTAGCTATCTCGAGGCAAGCAAAGGAATTGTGTCTATTTCTTACGCGTCCTTCGGTCCATGAGAAAAGGTTGGCGGGGGGATGACTCGTCTGGACGTGGGTACTTTGAGTGGTGTTGGGCTTGCTTTCTTGGTGGATCCAGAATCCAGAGGGGCAGAATATCATGTCATCCGCGGATCAATGAACCACAAGTTCATCAACAGAAATGGATGTTGACCATTCTTATCGGATTTCTCAATGTTTTGGGGACCACCCATGAATAAATGGCTTTAGACCTCCCCAGGTTGAAAATTCCGCCAGTCAGGCCATCGACCTTTGCGATCGGGGACCCACATACCAAGTGTCAGTATGTTAAATACATGTCCTTCATTCAACAAGTAAAAGGTAGATGATCACAAATCACATGCCAAGACAGCCCCTGTCTCTCTTTTTTTCTTTCTCTCTCTCTCTATATAAATATAAAGGTAAAGGGGCAACATTCCTTCATTCCAATGTGCATTGGAGCCGACCAGGCAGAAATCTGTGGGGAGGTGCCTTTGTTGGTCACCGCGGCAAAGATATATTTGATGGCTCATGATGGCTCATGATGGCTCATGATATGGGTCTGGTACCTGAACATGTTGGGAAACCTCAAAAATCCCATTGGCAAATTATGATTGTTCGACTCTTAACATGCCCATAACTTGGGGCTCACTTCGCAATTTGCAGACACCCGTGTGGTGTTTTGAATTTGGGATTAATTTCAGATAGACGCTGTTTTTCACCATGTTCACCTGGTAGTCTGTCGACTTGGAAAGGGGGCAGGTTATATTTTTTTCCCCTGTTCACCCACAATATGGAACACTGCAACAATTCTTTCGTTGGGTAACAAGATCCGTGTGCCTTTGGTTCAGGCCATTTATCGATGTTTTTGCTTTTAAGGCAACTTCAAGCCTTTAAGGCTGCCTGAAGCATCAACTCTTGACGTTGCAGTCATGGAGTCCAACTTATCAGTCATGGCATGGCAACAGCCATTTCAGGGAGCCTCTGACCAAAAAAGGTCCCACATTTGGTCAACACGTTGGCGTTTTATTTCCTTCCTTCCTGGTTGGTGGTTTGGAACATGAATTTTTATGAATTTTGTCATCATCCCAATTGACTTTCATATTTTTCAGAGGGGTTGAAACCACCAATCAGCTTCCCGTTTTTTGAATGCTAGCCAGAACATTGATCAATGAAGAACACCCTGCAACAATTCTGTACCAAAGCAAACACCATCATCAATGATGGGCGTTTCTGATGTGAACCCAATAAGAAACCCCATCACCATCAACGGCGTGTGAATTTTCACCATCCCCGTTGATCTCCAGCCCGCGCAGGCCGTCACGGAGGCGACCGGGGCTCGGCTCGCAGGCTTCCGATGGATTTTTGGAGGGGGTTTGGCAGATATTTTTTGATGTTCACATGCGGGGCGGATCCCAGTTGACGTTGATTCGATCGTATTTTGCATCACATCCTTGAATATGGAAAGTTTGTGGAAACATCCCCCAAAGCTTCCAGAATACAACGATTTTACAGTCACAGGTATGAAAGTAGATTGCCTTCGATAGAAAGCGTTCAACAGAGCAACACCTGGTCATGTTCAGGACCTTCATCATGTGTTTTTGGACACCAACTGACTTGACTGGTACCCTTGCTGGTTGGTTTTATTTGAATGGTTGGGCACACATTCCAAAATGTCACGCAATTCTTGTTGACTCAATGAGTGATTGTGTCAACAAAGCCCATCAGAATCATCCCCATTTTTGCTAGTAAATATGCTCATTTTTGTTTGTGAACCCAATATTCAGGGAATACATGCCGAAGAGATGGCAGTTTTCCTTTTTTAAAAAATCATCATCAATCATCTTCAATCATCATCGATCATTTTCAATCATCTTACATACTTATATAATATACTGAAATTTAATTCATCTTCAATAATTTCAAATCATGTTAAATCATCTCATTATCTCCAATAATCATCAAACATCTTCATTCATCTTCAACAATTTCCGATCATTCTCAATCATCGTCAATCACCCCCCAACCATCTTTATTTAATCATCTTCAGTTCATCTTAGTTCATCTTATTTCATCATCTTATTTCATCTTACTTCATCTTGGTTCATCTTACTTTAACCTTGGTTCATCTTTGTTCATCTCCTTTCATCTTACTTCGACCAGATTTCCCAGGCGCGACCGCGACGGCCGGGGCCAAGGTGGCCAAGGCGGCCAAGGTGGTCGAGGTGGGGATCTCCAATAGCTGGATGGTCATGGAAAAGCCATTCTTTGGAGGTTTCCTAAGGTGGGGATACCCCAATTTATGAATGGTTTATACATGTTAATGGAAAATCCTAAAATAAAATGGATGATTTTTGGTAGCCCCAGTGAAAAAGAAACCTGCCAGATGGATCCAGATGGAAGATAGGTCCAAGAACGGAGAAAGTCATCAGCAAAAAGCGGGCAATTGCATCCACACCCGGGTGTGGGTATGGGATAAAGTATCAACTGATCCTGAAAGAGCCTGAAATTTTGGTGTTTTCAACATTGAAACATTCAGTTTTTTTGGGTCAATCATACCTAAATCATCCTAAATCTATGTCTCGCTATTTTACCTATCATGTTCATGTTTGTTTACTGTAGTGATTTAATTGAAGTCCAATCAGGGATATGACACCATCCTAAACTATGGCGACGTGCTCAACCATGGAAATAATAACACGATGTGGTTCTCTGTAAATCCTTCCAAAAAACAACTGTCCTAATAAAAACATGGGTAGATCGAACCTTTTCTATCCCTTTTCTGACTGTGGCGAACTTTTTGGCAGGGCAGGCGTCAAAGGAACTCCGGCAGGGTGCCTCAGTGGGAGCCGGTGGCTGGCTGGTCATTTGTCCCAAATCATTTCAAAATCATGGCGTAGTCATATTTCATGGGTATGATGGATAGTAATTTGGGCAATCAACCTATTATATGTATATATATATATTATATTTACTTATTTACCATTTTTTTTAATTTGATTTGTTTTGTTTTTGTTTTTGTTTGTTTGTTTTTCTGTTTGATGGAATACTATGGAGTAAAGGGATCATGTTGAAGGTTTTTCATGTGCTCCAGTCCAAACCCTCCGGAGACGACATGTTGGGGTTATCTGACTTCGGGGTTTTTGTTTGCACCGAACATCCACACTTTTGGATGGAACAACGTCCAAAGATATGGTCGATTTGTGATATATATATATATTATAGATTGGCCTGGGGTAAACTATTCTCAAGCCCCGCCAACCTTTGAATTCCACATCGCTGCCTTGTGTTATAAACTAAGAATGAAACGGGAAATCGCAGGTTTTCCCAGGAAGTGGCCTATTCAGAGCGGATTTTCCATCTCTACGTGCCCAGGCGGAAAGACCAGAGCGATGCAAGGAGAGGCAGGTGTTAGTTACTGTTAGGTGTTTTAGGAGGTCATTCCTTCCAAAAATTGGCAATGTTTCGGTTGGAATCGCTTTGAACATGGCTTTTTGATGGCTACCTTTTCTGTTCGATTTTGACTCACCGTTTCCTGTTTTCTAGCAGTGTATTTGTAGAGATGATCCTTAGAGATGTGTTAGTAGGGTTTTGTAAGTTTTGCAGGTAAAACACAAACACCCCAAAGCCATAGAGTAACAACAAAAGTTTTTTCCCATTTTTCTGCTTCAAAAAAAGGCAGAAAAAACCAATCACCTGAATACGGAGGATTTGGCTTCAACAGGCAATGTTCGCAGGGAAAGGCATTTGAACATCATGATAAACCATATAACATCATATAACCATAATGGATTCAGGTTTTTCCATATTTTCCCACGCATTTGAAGCATTTGAAAATGGGGATCATCCAATGAACCAGTGGATTTTCACCATGGTTTTCCCAAGATTTTCACCCACATTCGTCCCAGGCGATAGGAAGGGGCGCCGCTATCGGGGAGGTCCGGCTGATGCGCAAAAAGGCTGTCGATAAGTTAAGTCAGTGAAGGTCAGTTAACTTGGTGATTTAAGGAGAACTTCATCTATTTACTGCCAGATTTCCATAGATGTTTTCTTATGTTTTCATGATCGATTTCATGATCGAACGAGTTTTAATGGTGAAAAAACACCAACATATAACATGGCGCCCACCTTTTAGGAAACCACTTACAGGGGATCAACGCGTTCCACCAAGTGTTTCAGGACCTTCTGGTTGGTTTCAAGGATACAAAGATGGAGGATTTGAACAATGATTATGAATGATTGTCAATAATTATTAACAATGATCAATAATCATTATCATTGATATCAGTATTGTGAATAGTGAATAATAATAGTGAATATTGTTAATTATCAATATTTATCCACTGATAATTATCAATAGTGAATATCAGTGATATCAGTCTTTAGCAATCATTCTGACGATAATTCTGAACGATGATCAATAATTATCGATGAGGGGCGAGCACTCGCTTGTGCACTTATGATTTGCCTCGCTTGTGCACTTGCGATTCTCCTCGCTTATGCACTTATGATTTTGTTGTCGATGCCATTCGGATGCCAGCCTCCTGTGGGTACCCCATTTTTACGGGGAATTTTATTCTTCCTCCCCGGGGAATTTTCCCGGCTAAGTTCCCGCAGACTGGTGTGCCAGGGAAGCAAGGCAGCAAGCAAGGCAGCAAGCAAGCAAGCAAGCAAGCAAGCCAGCCAAGCAAGCAAGCCAGCCAGCAAGCCAGCCAGCAAGCCAGCAAGCCAGCAAGCCAGCAAGCCAGCAAGCCAGCCAGCCAGCCAGCCAAGCAAGCAAGCAAGCAAGCAAGGGAAGCAAGGGAGCCAGCGAGCAAACCAAGCAAGCAAACAAGCAAGCAAGCCAGCCAAGCAAGCAAGCCAAGCAAGCAAGCTAGCAAGCCAGCCAGACAGCCAGCCAGGCAACCAGCAACCGTACCACTGTACCACTGAAATTATTGCTGCCGTGGCGGGTCGGTGGTGATGGTTGGTGCTAGGATACCCAGAATGGGAAAGTGATATGTCTAGATGGCAGTGATCATAATAAATGTTCTACCATGGAAAAAGAAACAAAGTGATGTGAAATTCAAAAGTTGCAAAGAAAAACCTGCAACTTTGGCGATCCAGGTATGTATATATACATATGTACAGGTTGTCATTTGGATACATATTTTGTGGCTATTTATTTGCGCATATCCAACAACAACAGCAACAACAGCAACAACAACCATAACAACAATAAACACAATAACAACAACGATCACGAGAGCAAGCATCACAACAACAATCATCACAACCACAACAACAACAACAACCACCATCACAACAACAGCCATCGCAACAGCAAACATCACAAGAACAAACATCGCAACAACAAACATAACAAAGAAACAGCAACAAACATTACAACAACAGACAGCACAACAACAAACATAACAGCAACAAACGTAACAACAAATACAATAACATAGAAGGTTCCAGCTCCCAAATTCTACGAAGAGCACGCAAACTGAAAGGTTCCTGCGCGCGAGTGCGGCAAACAGCATGCAAAATAAAAAGTTCCAGCGCCATAATGCTGCAAATAGCATGCAACATGGAAGGTTCAGCTCCAAAATGCTGCAAATAGCACGCAAAATGAAAGGTTCCAGCTCCAAAATGTTGCAAATAGCATCCAGCATGGAAGGGAAGTGGCAGGATAGATGCAGGGGACGGAAAACAGAACAGATCAGGAAACAAATTCCCCGGGGCAGGAGAAAAAAATTCCCGGCGAGATTCGGCACCCCTCCTGTGCCATGGGGCACAGTAAGCTGTTAGTTTTAGACATGCATGTCCTGTTTGGTACAAAAATGTTTGCATTATTGTTGGGGTCAATGGTGTTTTGCATTGTTAATGCAAAACATGTGGAACTGCTGCGTCAATACGGGTTTGATCTAAGGGTTGAAAAGTCTTGCCTGTCAAGTTTGACTGGTATCTTGTTTATGACCCCCCCTTCCCCCCTGTTCCCCCCTCGCCCCTTGTTCCCTATGCATGCAACCCTCCCCTCCCCGCTCCCCCCTCCCCCCTTGTTCCCTATCCCCCCTCCCCCCCTGCCCTATATGCAACCCCCCCCCTCCCCCCTGTTCCCCCTCCCCCCTTGTTCCCTATATGCACCCCCCCCCCATGTTCCCCCCTCCCCCCCTTGTTCAGGTAAGTGCGCAAGTGAGTGAAATTTGGTGGTGAAGTGCGCAAGTGAGGGTAAGTGCGCAAGTGAGTGAAATCCTAAGTGCGCAAGTGAGGGCTTTGCCATCGAGGAGTATCACCGGTGATCAGTAATTACCGATGATCATCAACTATATACCATCTGGTTGTTTAACAGTTCGCCATGGAAAGATCCACCATGCTATTAAGAACGGTAAACCATCTATTTCGATTAGGGCCATCTATACCATGGCTATGTTAAATAACCAGAGGGTACTACCAAATAATTTTCAAATAAGATGAAAACCTCTCGAATTGCTGGAGATCCACAAGATTTCCTGGCATCCTTGCTCCAGGTGGCGGCGGCGGTGGCGGTGGTGGCGGTGGGGAGAACAGGCCAAAGGCGGCTTCTGAGTTGAGCCGCGTCGCAAACTTTTGAAAGGGCGTTGCTGACATCCCTATTTCCCGAAAATCACCTGTGTCTGAAAATAGTGTACCCCTAAACCCAATGGTTAATGATCACTATCCCTATTAAATGGCTATAATTGGGAATATACCCTATTTTCAGACAAACCCACCTAGTTTTCCATGTTCAGCTCCAGAAAGCCATCAATGAAACATGAAACCACCCGATGTTTCTCGAAATGATTCACCAGAATCACAGATTTGAAGTGTTTTTCTTTAATCTGACGGCCGAAATCACATGACCTCCCATTTCTACATAAATATTCCTCGCCTTAGCCTTTGCAGCTTCATCCAACAATACTTCGACACAGCGAAGCAAACCTGGAAACAAAACGGCCACATCCTGGAATTGCGAAGAAATATCTTTGAGCTTTGAAAACAAATGTGTGAAATAATATATATGTAAATATATGTAACATGTATATTATCACATGTATAGTTGACAATCTGTTGAAGTTCCCAAAGGGACAATCTCAGATTGGTAATTCACTTTGCACTTCGAGACAGTTTTCAGCCATTTCTAGCAATTTCTTCGAGAAGAAAGCCATTGGCCAAGCATGTCGACTATGATGTGCCGCTGGCTCTGGCTATCTCTGGTGACTGTGGGGCAGCCCAGCTACAGGACATACTCATTGGGATTTGACCCACACGATGATCCATTTTGTTCATCTAGGCAATTCTTTGATTTTTCTTTAGAATTTGTTGCTATGTTTGTTGCTTACTGTGTTTGATTGCTTTGATATCTCCAGTGTTGCCGCAAGAGCAGTCTCAGTGAGATTTGCATGGTCCGTTGAGGGATGTTGGACAGCGAATCCTGGGGTATTTAACATATCCCCAATGTCCAATCACAATGAATTTTTGATTGGATTCAAGACTGGAGGTTTCCTAAAATATGGTGACCCCTACATACTCCTGAAAATTGGACTGTTTCAGTATATTTGTGTATATTTAGTACTAAACCCTATGGTTGGTGAGGGTACCCCATGGTACCCCCTCATTTTGGTACCCACATCCATCATCACAGGTGCTGGTGACTGGTGAGAACCACTCCCTTCGAGGAACACCAAGCAGCAATGAGACGCAAGGACGGCGCGGTCAGGGCTCCCTACCAAGGAATGTGGGGATCTAATCAACCATCAAAGGCAACCATTTTTGAGATTCTGAGGATTTTGGGCTTTACTCATGTTTATTCATTTTAAGAATCCCCCAGATATACAAGGTAGGCAATAAACATGATGTGGTCGGCAATGAAAAACTGTGAGCCATATGAGTGGGACGTGTTCACGCTTTGGAGTTGGATGAGCCTCTTGATCGTTGTCCCATCCTTGGTCCTCGTATTTCTGGATGCATATGCTGGGCAAAGGGCAAACTTTTTCCCACGGTCCCCCATGGTTCACAACCAATAGCTTCAATAGATGCTTGGTCAGGGTATGTCAGGGTTTTTATCAACCCTGTTTTTTTTCCAGGTTTTTTTCTCACATTCGATTACAAGAGATTGGAGGTTTCTATGGGGAGCCACAAGGAGTCATTGTCTCCAGCTTGATGCGGTCGTCGCCTCCTTCGAAGAGTTTGGCGACCGCGCAGGGCCCGCAGGGCCCGGAGGGCCGGCGTACTCGGGATTTTTGGAAGACCAGTGGCTTGGATGATGGAGGGCTAGGCCCAAACCCAGTTTTTGCCCAAAAAAACACACTGCCAGAGACTGGAAAAAATCATGGGAACTTTAGATGAAAACCACATAAAACCACAAAAATATGCAACTCTGTGATGCTATGAGGCGTGTTTTCTTCCCCAAGCTCAGTGTTCACACATGTGGGTTGGTAGTTACATGGATTGATGATGTTTGTTGGTGCTTAAACGGAATTTTACCATGCAGACTCATTGCATGAGAGGCTGCATTGCCGCGGGGTAACTGGACTGATCTCCCATTGACTTGACCATAGGGACAATGGTGACGAAGTTGTCAGATAAATCCAAATGAGAACATTGACATTTCGACATTTCTGGAGTATGGATATGTTGAACATACCTTTTTAGGGTTGCTGATATTCCATTCCCATCCATCTCCCGAATCTCCCGAAGCTTCGAGTTGAGGCCAATTCGAGGAACTGGAAAGGCTTCATCTTCATCTCAATGCCAAAGGGGTGCGCCATCGGGGGATGTGGCCAGGGCATCCGAATGGCGCCGCAAGATCTGTTGAAGACTTTGGACATATCTTTGTTTACTATTATATATACTATTATACTATATACATAATAATATCATATGTTACTCCATATTATACATATGATACTCTATATTATACACATGATACTCTATTATACATACATTACACACATATATATACATACATACTATTCTATGCATATATATATATTGAACATACCGTGTGGTTTCAAACAGGTGTGATTTTCCAGCCTGTTTGGCATGATCACGACTGAATCAGGTCTTGTCCCGTTGTGAGCTGTCTCGAATATTTTTTGTGTCGTGTCACCTTGGGCAAAAAGCCATCCAACTAACATAGCGAACTGGAAAATCACCACATTTTTCATGGGTAAATCCACTATTTCGACTGGGCCATTTTCAATATGTAAACGTTTACCAGAGGGCAACTAACATAGCGAACTGGACGTTCACCACGAAGCCACCATGGGATCATTTTCCGAGGTTTCCCCATGAGGTAAAATTCTCCACATCAGCGAAGGAAGTGGAGCTGGACAAGGAAAACCTGGCACAAGAATCACCGTTGGTGATGCTCGGAACAAACAAAGGGTTGGCTTGATAGAAACAAAAACCACAGGAAACCATAGGTTTTCTGCTCCATATGTTTACGAACTCTTTATATTATATATAATGTACATATTATATATATATTGAATATATTTTATTCGTAAATAACTATGTTATATATAGTTGTTTACTGCGAAACTTCCCTTGAACGAATTATGTGATGATCGTCAACTTGTCCATGGTCATCCCGAGTGGCAAACCAAAAATAACTGGAGATATCTACGGATTGAACCAAGGCGTATCTCATATATTAATTTACTTAGGTACATGCAGTAAACATAACATCAACTTTATCAACTTGGTTTTCATGTATATATATATACATGTATACCTTTCAGTACAGTTCTATTACACTGACTATGCATTTGGCCGGTTTCGCCGGAAAGTATCAAAGCTCCTGGCCACCCAAAAAAAATGATGGATGAACATCATCGTCGTCGTCGTACTTTTCACTATTCAATGGCCAACAAGGGTGATATATCCTGTACGATCACCAGGGATTTTCACGAAATTGTGGGAAAATATGGGTATGGGTCAATACCTATAGATACATTTTTAGTGGGATGAACATCCATTTACCAGCTATTTTGGGCTTCACTAGGTACCAGGGTTTTGACCCATCCCCATATCCCAGGATCGTACTTTTCACTATTCAAATTATTCAATTAATATCGAACTTCCTTGTGACAAGTCCTCGCTTTTTGGTGGCATCTGGAGATCTCGCTGAATGGCATGACTTTCCAGATCTTTATAAAGGGGATTGGGAAAGACATGGAAAAACACATGAAAAAACACAAAGTCAGATAACCCGCATGAATTGTAATTGAATTATCATTTTCCATCATTTTTCAAATGTTGAAAATAAAAAAGGGGGAAATGATGAGAAACCACTTTCAAAATTCCGGGAGAAGCCATCCTGAAATTCAATGGTGTATCATCGTTCCCCCCATCATTCAATGGTATGATTTGGGGGCAAAAACCCTTTTGCGGACACATTCGTATTAATTTTGAAAAGAAGAGACGTGGCATGAGATTATTTTTTTCCAATGGTGTGACTTGTAAAGTGGGATGAGGTCAATCATCCATTAAACACCTTTCCAGCCACTGAATTTCGGTCTGTGTGTCTCACCGCAGTGCCATTTGAGGAACAGAAGTCATTCCACCACGAACGACACGAAGCTCAGCAGCGTCTGGAAGAACCTGACGCTGCGAAGCAGTGGCGATGAGGACAACAGATGGCCACTTGGTGTACCATCCCTGGTGGATGGTAAGTTACCCGGCCTGGTAAACAGTCCCAAAAAACGAGTCGGACAGATCCACCATCTTCTAGCTGGGTAAATCCACTATTTAACTATCACCATTTTCCATAGCTATGCAACAAATTACCAGAGGGTATGACGGGTTCGATGGTGGTTTAGTGGACATTGTCATGTTTGTTGGCAACCATCAATGACTCGGTTGGGGATGATAGAATAGGGATAACCACCTTCTGGTACCCTCTGGTGATGTAAAAAAAAGCTATGGAAAACAACATGTTTGATAGATAAACCATCAAACCGAATGGGCCCATTGTTAAATCACTAAAGGGCAATCAAACATATGCTGCAAAAAATCACCATTTCGCCAGATGATTTTCTTGGTAAACTCCAAATTCTTGCTAGTTAAAACCCAGCCATGTTTGTGGATGAATTATTCCACATAAAATGGTCAGATCACTTTATTTTGCCTAGTAAAACCTCCATTTTTTGCCAGTTCCACCAGTTTTGCTCGTCAATACCCTCTGGTTAATTTGTTACATAGCTATTGAACATGGCGATTTATTTATAGTGGATTTACCCAGCTAGAAGATGGTGGATCTGTCCGACTCGTTTTTTGGGACTTCCTCCATGGCTCAGGTGCCACTGGTGCCACCGTCGTCGCAGGGGTTACGGCAGCCATGGTCAGGGCAACCGGCGCAGAGGCGCACGGCGGCGGCAGCCGGGGGACTCGAGGCGAAGGCACGGTACCGTGGGATCCGTGGGATGTGTTGGTGTCTTCAACTTACCCTTGCAAGGGATGTTTTTCCCAGATTTTTCAAGGGATTTGATGATTTGTTTCTTCTTTAATTCGTGGGATTTGATGGGATTTGACGTTTTTTTTTCTAAGATTTAACGGGATTTGATGTTGTTTTTCCTAGGATTTAAGCGGATTTGATGTTGTTTTTTCTGGGATTTAAGGGGATTATATAATCCATACATCGTTGGTGTCATTAAGCGTGACTGGCTGGGCAATCCCCTTTGTTAGAGGACAATCAAGTGGGAAAAACACCTATAAGCCTATAAGTGAGGGATTTTCTGGTGAACCCTGCTGGTTTGGGAGAAATTTTCAAGTGGTTCAACTGGGAGTATCACCTGGAAATCTCTGGAAATTCACATGTTTGGCTGGTGGGTATTTCACCAACAATCATAGGGAGTCTATGATATTTAACATGAGTTTAAACCATCCAAAATGGGGATACAATGGATATACAATCAATGAACATGTCCAATTTGGGAGGATGATCCAGCTTATATAATTAACGGGTTTGAACACAATGATTTTGAGGTATTTATATATATATATATCATTATTTAGCGGGGTTTGTAGTTTTTTTTGGGTATAATACTGGTTGATAACAGTACGTAACAATATTGATAATAGTAGTAAGAGTAATGATAGTTCTTATAGTAGAAATAGTGATGTGTGATCGTTTGTTGGTTGTTGTAACCACCCAAAAAATGCTGAATTTTGGAACAACTCAAATTTTAAATAGTGATCTATATATAAATAATTCTATAATTATAAATGGTTGGTACATAGATTGTATAAATTTATTTTGGTGAACAATTGATGAACTCTGATTGGTGACTGGGTGATTTTTCAGCTTTCTGATGGAGGAATCTACCCTGCCAATAGTCATGTCCCGGAGTATGTAACACCAGCGGCATCGCCAAGCAAAAATATCATCAGTAGATTCTCAATGTACACTATTTACCAAGTGATGTCATGAATCGGACGTCTGAATGTCAAATTGAGTCCCCCCAAAAAAACACGGGGCATTTTCCATCGTTTTCCTGTGGGATGACCCAGTGTTTCAAACCCCATGACCGCCATGTTTCTTCAAAGAAGGCATGAGGCAAACATAGAAAAGACAAAGGATGATCTGGAAAAAAATATAGGAACAAACATATTTGATTCGGGATACAACGATGTAAGGATACAATCGCCAAAGCATCATCTTTTTTCGAGGAAAAGAGAAGGGACTTAAACAATGGTAAAATCAAACGACGGAGCCACGTGCCGATGCGATTCCACAATTTGTAAAACTGCAACTGGCTGCTCAGTCGCTCTACTTCTAAGTAAGAATTTGGTTTTGTCTAAACATAGTGCAAACATGTGATGGTTTATCATCACTTTGCCTTTGAAAATGCAGATCGACTGAGGATAATGGAGCGCTCCCATTTTCAGACCTACCTATCATATCAAGTTGGTTGGTTAGTTCAAAACTATTAAACACACATATCCCATTAAAACATATTAAAACCATTATATCATATTATATACCCAGTATTGACATGACGATAATATGTTTCTTGGTTATATCTCAGGGGTTGGTCAATTTGTTGGTTTTTGCATGTTAAAAAACATCCTGAAAACCGGTAGATGTTGAGGATTATCTCCATGGAAATCCCATGGAAATCCCAATAGCTACTAGCCAGGCTAGCCATTAAAAAAAACAAAAACAACAAATCCCATGATAATCCCATTATTATAGTACTCCATCATTAATCCATCATACCCTCTGATAAATTAACTTGTTGACCCTGAAAATTACCAATTTATAGTGGTTTCACTAAGTCTTCCCACCCCTTACTGCCAGGGTCTATGTTAATTTACCAGAGGGTAACTATTCATTATAACCCATTGGATCCCCTGAAATCCCATTTTTTTTCTCCGTAGAGAAACCGGAGAGGCGAAGCCGACGTCGCTGGGAATCGCCCAGAAGGCCGTGGCGGTCATTCAGGGTTTGACTGGTCGTTGGTCATCGAACTAGTCTGACTGGTGGTTTGGAACTATGGAATTTTATGAATTTCCATATATTGGGAATGTCATCATCCCAACTGACAAACTCATATTGTTTAGAGGGGTAGGTATACCACCAACCAGTAGTTCATGGATATGTTTGCTTTATGGAATTTACCAGCTATTTTAAAAGCGTCACTAGGTCTCAGGGTTTTGACCCATCGCCATACGGATCCTTATGGGCTTTATAAAGGAACAAACATCACAACACACATCACTGGTGCACCACATGTTCAACTCTTGCCCTTGCCTTGCTGTCCTTGAGGCTGCTGGGGGGGCTGATACTCGTACTTTACAGTATGCTCTTGTTCTCTAATGTTATATATATAAAATCTAGAATCATATTAGAGAAAAGCATACTTTAAAGTATATCTAATGTTCATATGATAAGATCATATATATATATATCATATATCATGCTATCATGACGGGATGTATGCGTATGGATTCAGTCCGTGCTACCGCTTGTACCGAAGTTTAGGCCACCTTGGCCTGCATCGTCCACGTCCCACCGTTGAAAACATGCCCTATTTCACCCCTCGATAGTGAGCATCCATAAGCAACCTGGTAAAACGGGTCGTTGAGACTGAGATTTTCCGGGTCATTCTGAAGGTTTGCAATTCTTGATCGAAACAAACAAAGTATGCTCTAAATCAAAGCCTTTCCGCAGAGAGCTCTTTTGAATATTGCTTTTCCACGCAGAACCACATGTTTTATCAACAACAAGGCCAGAAGCACCAGCGACTGCCTGTATGCAACTGACATTTATGGTAGAGTCCGATGCGTATTTGTTGGTTAGACATCCGGGTTGTTTCTTTGTTGCAGTTGCAAGTCATATATTATGAAGGATAAGTTATACCCCCTTTCATAATCATAATATGTAACGTCGATAATAGATGATAATAGCATATCTATCTCAGTCATCCTGGAATAGATAGAATATGGACATTTCAAATAATCCTCTCCAAAATGGGAATATGTTTGACATGTTCATTTTCTATCTACTTCAAAATGATTCAAAATGACCATATATATATATAATGTGGGTTTGTCTAAAAATGGAAAAAAAACTCATTTTCAGACAGACCCACATAGAACTAAACAATAGCAATACAAAAAATGGTGATATACTAATAACAATCAACAATAACAAACGATAATGATGATCATCATTCATATGATTATCCTTTCATATCATATCATTGTCCTTTCATATCCTTTCAACTCATATCATATCATATCATATCATATCATATCATATCATATACTAATAATCACTAAGAATCACTAATAATCACTAATAACCGCTAATCATCACTAATCATCACCAATCATCACTAATAATCACTGATCATCACTGATCATCACTGATCATCACTGATATGAATGGGATATGATATGCATGGAATATCAATGTTCGTGACATCTCCCATTCATATCCCAGGAGAACCAGCTGGCAGAGCTCTCCCCGGAGACGCCGCAACGCGCCCAAGCCGCCCGCGCCGGCGCCGGTGCCGTGGAAGCCGACGCCATGGGTGGGGCCTATCCCAGCGACCTGGCGATTCCATGGTACCCCTGGCTGGATGGTTGGGAAAAATCCTATGGAAAAAATGGTGAACTGGGGTAATTAGGCCTCTTTTAGGAAAGCAACATATGAAGAAATGCAGGTTTTTACTGGGCAACATGAAGGTTTGATTGGAAAAATGGATGGTTTTTGACTGGAACATATCAAGACATATAAAGACATTTGACCAACATGCGGAGCAAAGGTAAGTTGCCAACCGAAATGGCTTTGCTAGCAAGAAAAAATGTTTTCACATTAGTTTCCCAAGCAGAATTGGGATTTTCTTTAATGCAACAAAAATACGGGTTTGTCTGAACAGAGTGTACCCCTACATCATCTGCATTATCCCTGTGAATTTACCCAACAGATTGGGCAATTGAGGGTGTCAGCTGAAAAAAATGGAGAGTCTTTCTACAAGGGTTTAACAAACAAACATTGAGTGTAAGACTAAGTGCAAAAAATGAATGGGATGTTCCAGACTGATTTGTACCAATTGATGTTTGTTGAGTAAACCAAACATATATATATCCCATTGATTCATTGATATTCAACCAAAGTGATTCTCTTTGACTCCATGGAAACTTTGGCATCCAGCTGGGCACTGCGTTGACCTCAGAAACGTTCTGCCTTTCGATGTTTCACCATGGCATCACGGCCCTGCGCAAAAACACACCATGGCGTTGGTGGTTGCTTAAAGATGTTAACAATAATGTATACCCTCTGGTAAATAAACATAGACCCTGAAAATAGCCAATTTTTGATGGAAACTAGTCTTCCAATCCCTATCTGCCAGGGTCTATGTTAATTTACCAGAGGGTAACTGTCAATTCATACCAGTTCATATCATAGAAATTCATATGGGGGTTTCTTAAAATGGGGGGATCCCCAAGTCATCGTGGGTTTCAATACTGAAATGGTTTAGTGACCTGGATGATTATTTTTGGTACCTCCATGACTTAGGAAACCTCCTTATGGCTATGAGTCAAAACCCTGGTACCCAAACGGTACCCTAAGTCATAGCTGGTTAATGGATGGTTATTTGGTTATTCCCCAAAATATGGTGAATTGATAGGTTTTGACCCATCCCCATATCATACTGTGGATGGTTGCGAAATCCGATAAACCAGTTGATAGATGGTAAACATCCCATTATTTATAGCTTTTCAACCATCTATCAACTGGTTTAAAACATGGCCAAAACAGTAACCCATCCACAGTTTATCCACGTGGTAAAAGAGTTTTTGTAGTTTTTCTGTATCGGATACTGTGTTTCAGCTTTTCCATCCACAGTATCAATGGGAATTTCAGGATCCTAAAATGGAGGTACCTACCATATATAAGGCCTATTTTTCAGGCCTAAATTTCAGAGAATCTCCCTAGAAAATATGGCCAGAAATATGGTACTTACTAACGTACCTCCATCAATTGGATCCTGAAGATCTCCCATTGACAGTATCATGGCCAAAACAGTACCCTCCGGTAATTTAACATAGCTATTGAAAATTGCCATTTATAGTTGATTTACCCATTAATAATGGTGATTTTCTATAGCTACGTTAGTTTACCCTAGAGGGTAACCCATCATGGCATCATGGACTTTCCATGGCCAAAACGAGACCATGAAACAATTTTCTGAGGTGAGCCCGTCTGGAGGCTGCAGCTTGACCAGCTTGACATATCTCGGGATGCACAGCTGAGGGAAAGCCATGATCATAGTATTACCATAATGTACCATGATAGTAATATGGATACCCTCTGGTAAACTAACATAACTATGGGAAATCACCATTTTTAATGGGTAAATCCACTATAAATGGCAATTTTCAATAGCTATGTTAGTTTACCAGAGGGTAATAATATGGATACTATAAGAGTATTACCATGATAATATGGATAATAAGCATAACATATGATATCATCACCATTTCATTATCATATGATAATAGTATTGATAGTAAAGAAATAACCATAATCATATAGTTTAATGATAGTAATGATAACCATCACTAGTAATGATATTGATGTTGATTGGTTCCATTCAAAGAAAACATCTATAGCAACGAACAATGATTAGTGGCATATATTGGCACTATCCAACAATTTGTTTTTCACGTATAACCCATAGGGGGTACCTAGAACTATGAAAATCTTACCAGCAAACTCTGATGAGGGTTGTTTGATATTTATGTGTATCATTGTTTTTTTGTGATTTGGTTTTGCGGTGTTTGCAGGCCCAAGATTTTCCTAATCCTGAAATATGGGTATGAAATAGAGGCAGTCCTTCATGAATTCCAGGTGTCTTTTTTTTTCGACGTCCTATGAGAATGCCAATTGCACCTACCATTTGGGGATGGGCGGGTTTACCACATGAATGCCCGGGGGAACATGATAGAAAAGGAAACCATCATCCTTTGTCCCATACTTTTCGATCTTTTTGGGGACGAGTTACTCGAAATCTTCGACAAACAGAAGCATCTGCCACAAAGCGTTGGAGCGGGATCGCGTGAGATTTTCTCATGAGACAAGCAATCTTTGGATTCTGTATGACATTTCCATGAAGGTGTATACTGGCGTATAGCCTACGGCTGCATCTCTACTCCACGATACTTTCCAAGCTAGGCCGTTGGAGCACAGGCCCTGACTTCCAGGGTGAAGCCTCTGGACTTAGGTGAGAGCAATCGAATTCCTTTGGACAGCAAATGCACGGGTTGCCCTCCAAAGAAGGACAGCAAATGCTGTTTCCCAACAATTCTGTGGGCCTATTGGTGGGTGTAATGGTGCTATCCTACATAAGTTGAGATATAACCCTGTAACATCCTATAACTATGGTATACTATGGTTATATAATATACATATTTATATATATATATATATATCCAATTACGAATAGAACTGCGCCCCACGGGTTGACAAAAAAACAATCATCACAATCATCACAATCATCACAATCAGTGACGGTGGTCCAGAGTCAGAGAAAGCTGCTGCTCCAGATCCTGTGACGTCATGTGTGGTTAATATTCACAAGATTTCACAAGGATGGATATATTATATGATCACTTTGCTTGCAAAAGTGCGATCCGCATTATAGTTTCTTTTTCATGGGTTTGGCAGCAATGAGTTTGATGGTCACCTAGAAGATAACAGTTTGGAAAAACTATCCGTAAACTTCTAGTGCTGGCGAGTTTGCCATTCTGTATATCACCATATTTGTGTGGCTGAGAATGGGTCATTTACCTCAATTCATGGCAAATTTGATACGGAAAATAGTGAACCGTCGAATTTGGAGAACCACTCGTATTTGTTGATGCCCCATGATGGTCATTCCTGCTGCAGGAAGATAGAAACCATGCAACAAAATACAATAGCAGCCATTGTGCGAGAAATCCAAGATGAACAATCATTCTCTAAGTTTTTATTTGCAATGATATTTTGAAATACTTAAGACGTCTATCATGCTACCAGCAGGCTTCGAATATGCTCCACACAATGTGTCGGTGTGCACTAAGCAGCCTTAAAGAAACTTCAACCATGCTTCAACACCAACCTTGGAGAATTTGACATTTCTTCCGCAATGCTAATTGAATTGTTAGTGAAACAGGTTCGCGGCAGTCTTTTGAATCATCTAGTGACCATTGTTCACCATTTTTAATTAAACACTCTAAATTTGGCAAACATGCTGGGAGGGAAACGAGAGTTCACATGCAGTACCATCGCAACCTCCGCCAGAGTCTGTAATTCTGTACTTCCATCCCAAGTAGTTATTGCTGCTTTCTGTGGGTTCGCCTGAAAATAGGCTGCCCAGAAATTTCATGGTTTATCAGTTTATCACGGTGTATCATCAATTTTGAGAATGCGATTTGCAGAGGGGGTATACCCCACCATCGCCGGCAGGACGGGAAACTCTGTGCCAGCACCACTTGGTATGAGGACACCACCCGTGGCTCCTGTGGCTGTGGTGGCCGTGGCCACGTGGATCATGACTTTTGGACCTTGACGGACCCGCGGGATGGAGTTGGGTGGAAAATGAGGGATCATATGGGGGAGAATTTGGGGATTTCAAGATATTTAAACCATTTTAAAACATCTATGATTCTCCAATATATCGATTAATGAATCATTTTAAGGACATGAGATAATGCAGGGAGCGGTGTAAATCCCGTAAAACAATGATGTATTTGTGAGGATAATGGGCTTATTTCAGGGGATTTGCAACATCTATAATCCACAAAAAATGAGCTCGGTTTCCCCAAAAGTTAAAGTGGTAGATACCCAAAATGGTCACTTCAATGGGGAAGATTATGATCAATCGTGGGATTTTGGAGTACCATATTTTCAGAGAACAATTCTACAGACGCAGCCATTTTTGGTGGTAAATAGCTCTTCTGGAGCTATGCGTTGGGGTTTTTTATTATAGAAAAAGACTCCTCCAATTTTTTTTGCCACAAGCGGCACGATAAATTGGGAGCGGCAGGACACTAAAAGTCAGGACAGGACTCCATTGGGATTTATGAGGATCCACCGTTGATTCAGCAGCCTCATGGTTTCGAACATCATTGTATGGACCATTGTATGGAGCATGCAGATGCAAATATTTCTATAACTCTTTCAACTATTCCATATTTAGAACATCACGATATTATTATTGATTAATATAGCACCCCTCAAAAAACAAAAACCTTAGAGAATTCACTGAATTCTCATTAGAAATCATGGTAACTGTCACCTTTTCTATGTTTTTTTTCAAGGGTTACAACAACCAGCAGCGTCTCCAGTCTCTCCAGCACTCTCCACTGCCACCAACCGGGAAGGAGTATACGGCTGCCATGAACTGCGCGAATTTGGACAATGACCCGGACAAGAGTTGGTTCCTGGAGCATTGGGAAAGAAATACATAGCATTTAAACATGGGGAGAGAATGGGAGATAGGGCCGGGATATATGATGGGATATGATAATATATATATATATAGTTGTTTTTTTTGGTAAAGAATCAACCACCATGTAGAACACAGAAATTGTCTGAACATGGTGGGATCTACAGAAATGTATGGGCAATTTTCATGGGTGACATGATGATCAGCCATGGTTTCTGCCATCCAGTTGAGCCATTCAAGGGCACCCAGTTCCCAGTTGATTGGTTATGATATACCCTCTGGTTATTGGTTACATAGCCATGGTTTTTCGATGGCCCCAATCGAAATAGATGGTTTATCTATTCCAAATGGTGGATCTTTCCATCGCGAACTGTTAGTCATAACCAGATGGTATATGTATAATCACAGAGTATATACATATAACTACATCATGTATACCCTCCGGTAATTTAACATAGCTATTGAAAATGGCCATTTATAGTATTTATAGTTGATTTTCCCATTAAAAATGGTGACTTTCCATAGCTACGTTAGTTGACCAGAGGGTAACCATGGCTATGTTTAGAATGGTTTATGCCACCCGGTTTTTCAGGGATCCAGCCGCTGACCCCGCTGGCTTCCCAGGTGTCCACTGAACTGCGGTGAGTGCTACAAGCTGTGCACCACCGGCGGATCGACGCAGGGCCGCAAGCCAAAAGCAGGCGCAACAAGCGCCGGAAAGCGCAACCAATGGGCATGGTGGAATCGCATGGAATCGATGTGTTTTTTGTGTCACCAGTGTCACTTTGCCAGTTTCTAGAGGATTTTTAATGATTTTTAGATATGTAACTGGTGATTTTGTCTTGGTCACGACTGTCAAAGACGTCTATGATCTACCAGGTCCATAGCTGCCATAGCATGTTTTTGACGGAAATATGGTCCATGGATGGTTGTTGATCCCATTTTTTCAGTCACGCTGATCCATGGTCAGTAAACAGGTTCTTAGAAGGGCCCCATATGTGGCCCCATTTGGCACCATTTTGTTGATATGAAGGTTTCCTAAAAAAATGGGGGTACCCCCAGTTCTCAGCCAAGTCATTGGACCATTTGAGTATGGAACATGCATGGTTTTCCATGTGGATCCCCACTGAAATTTTCGCACCCCTCCTTTGAACGGATGTCATCCCCAAGGCCCCCCAGCCGCAAAAAGCCGTTTGTTTCGCCTGGTTGCGAAACAGGTGTTTGCCGGGTCTTCAAGATCACGAACCGTTGCGGGGACGGTGCGAAACCTTTCACAGTTGATTGCGATATGATGTTTTCTAATGGATGGATATATCATGATATATATCATAGTTACCCTCTGGTAATTTAACATAACTATTGAACATCACCATTTTTAATGGGTAAATCAACGAACTAAATGGCCATGTTCAATAGTTATGTTAGTTTACCAGAGGGTATATTGGGACACAATATGACATTTTGATATATATATATATATTATACTACATAGATATACGCATATATATATATACATATATATATATACATATATATATATATATATTAGTTATGCACAATGAACCATATGAGACTTGAATCTCGAATCTCGAGTCCATTGTCAAGTGCGTTCTCAACCATATAGATGATGGCTTTGTTTGAAGGGGGATGCGCAAAACATGCAACTTTAGTTGGGGACATGATGATCAGACACGGGATTTTTGGGCCAAATATAATATAAATATATATTTACATGTAAATCATCAGGTAGATGGGGGCGCTTTGTCTTTGTAATTTGATCGCAGATTGAGATGGGATGTTTCGTAAAAATCCATCGCTTTCTATTCGACTTCTTGTTTTGTCTCATCACCAGCTGTCTTGCAGTAGGGGAGAAGCCCAACAAAGAACTTGGGATGCCAGGATGACTTGGGTTTCTCTGGCCATCAAGTACTTTGAAGGGGAAAACATGGGAGAACATGGGAAAACATGGGAAAACAATCCAAAATCTAACGGGAAGCTCCAAAGGTTGTTGGATGAATCTTCACCTGAAACGGCCATTTTGCTTGGTGGGAGCGAAATTCGCGGGGTAGTTCTCCCCAGTTGTACTTGGAACAACCCATCCTCGTCAGGCTACGACGACCACACGCCTGACTGGTGCAGTCAACACATGTCGTGGCAGCAATGCCCATGGCTCAGCTAGTCGGTGACCAAACATCAAGTCACGTCTCAAAGGTTGGGCGAATTCGAAGCACATCATACCAGTCTTGTTTGGTGGTCACTTTTCCATGAGTTTTTGAGATTTTTCCATGCTTAAGGCAAGGCGGATCCCAACAAGTGTCGAAAGGTTGGAAATACCAATCAGCAGCTTGGCAAAAATGGTGTCGGAGTCAGTGGGTAGACTCGGGTAGACCTGTGAATGGTTGGTGAATTGTTTTCTTTTGAGCAATTTCATGAAGGAACGTTTGAATTCCCACTAGAAATCAGCGGCTTCAAACCAGCAATGATGGAGAAATGTCGTAATCTATCGACCAAAAGTAGAGATATTTTACCACAGCAAGAGTGTCAGCGCTTGTGGGCAAAGAAGTTGAAGGGTTCCATCTGAAGTGGTCACTTCTTGCTTGTAACCAACCAAAATCAACCAAAGTTTCCGCAACATCCACCGTTGGCAAGGTTTGGTTATCCAGCACATTTCGACCTGCAGGACGAAGTTGTTTCTCGCTCGTATCTTATATTGTTATTCATACATTGTTTGCACGTAACTTCAGATGATCAGGCTGTATAGCACCCATGGATAGCATGGATTATTCACAGAAAGGACAGACGTTCCAAGCGGCGACCAAGTTACATCACTAGATTTCCTGCGTTGACATGGGAGACTGCGCCTTCAATTTCCTGTTGTGCAAACACTTTGAACCATTGAAACGCAACCTAAATGCAGCATGATCCTGGAAGCTAGCCTAGAATTGGTGCCAGAACACGTTTACAGTATACAAAACATCAAAGGGATGACTAAAATGGATGACTTCCTAGATCCTGCGTTTACATGCGGGGAATGCGCGTTCAAGGGACGCAGAGGGACATTGTCCCCTTCCGGCGACAGGACTACCACCGGCAGATCACCAGCAATACCACCGGATTGGATTGGGACAATGCAGAAGTGACCTTTGAGAAGGCCCAAAACATCCATGGTGGATCAACTTGTGATGATTATATATTATCACTGTCACTAGTGCCAATCATATCAATACTCGTTTTTCCTCTATAGCTCATTGACTCACATGAGCTAGTATATAAACCATGATAATCCATGATATAACCCAACAAGCACCCATCATTATTCGTGTTCTCATGTTTTTGGTTCTTGGTGTTTTGTTGTTATCAATAGAGGTCATGACCTTCTGTTTTTGCATGGCTCAGCCTGGGCCATTGGGTCGGGTGATGGATTTTCCAGCAAACCATGTTTGATGATCAGAGGGTTTCATTATTGGTGCTGATGGTTATTACATCTTATGTCATTACAATACATCCACGGCTATTGTTGGGTGAAACCTGGTTCATTGCTTGAAGCAGTGACATCTCTGATGATTATTGTTTGCTATATGATATGTTGCTTTGCTACTTCGCACATGGGCATAGCTCCAAAAAGTGTTGCACCCCCAAGACGAACGCTGTAGTACCGTGAGAGTTGGAGCGAAGGGTTGCTGCTTAGAATCGTAGACCGCCCTGAATTCAGCTGATTGTATTATGTCATATGTATTCAAATGTCATGTACTATATTCACGGTTGGATTACTGGTGGCTGCATCCGAAACCAGTTTTATCAATAACAAGAATCTGGTTGGTGGTTTGGAACATGTTATATTTTTCCATACATTGGGAACAATAGTCCCATTTGACGAAGTCCATCATTTTTCAGGGGGGTAGGTTGAAACCACCAACCAGATATATTTCATATGCCCACTATCCCATGGGATACTAAAAAAAAGTGATTACCGCTTCCACCAAAATTCAACAGATCAAACATGATCAACCAACCTTATCAACAACCAGTTTTCCTCATTTTACCAGCGAAACCTAGGAATCTCATTTTCCCTAGGAATTTGCCTCGGTTTAAATCTTTTGCAGCTGCGTTCGTGTTTTTGGACCCCCCATGGATTCCTGCTTGGATTCCATTGGATCCCCTGCTGATTTCCTGCTAAACGCCACGTTGATTTCTATTAATTTCTATGAAATCATATGGTTTATTCTTTCCATTAAATGAAAGCAACTATAGTAACTACTAATGTTTTTTGAATATTTTTGGCATGGTCCAATAAACTATATATATATACATATTATAACTATTATTTTCTGAGTGCTCTGTTGAGTATCTGTTTTCCGGATGTTTTATTTTGTTTCTGTGTTGTTTTTCTGATATGTTTTTATTTTGTGTTTCAGTTTGTCTTCCCCTTGATTTTGGAGTTCAGGAATTCGTTTCACAAATATAGATAGTTATACATGTGTATACATACAGTACATAACTCGTTGGTGGTTTGGGACATGAATTTTCTTTTCCCATATATTGGGAATTTCATCATCCCAACTGACGAAGTCATATTTTTCAGAGGGGTAGGTCAACCACCAACCAGATAGTGTTATAAGTTATATTGTTTATTGGATTTCTTGGGTCACCCCCACAAGATGGTGCCCCGTAGTTATAAGTTGGTTTATAAATCCCATTAACTATAGTTATATCTACCATAAACCATAGAATTCAGCCACTTATAAGGCAACTTAGATATCTTGGGGGCCCCATCCTGCAGTGTCCATTTGTTGCTTCCATAATGCCATTGCGAGGTCTCGTGCGGTCAATGGCATGGACCCCAGGACGTGCAATGCGAAGGCTGCAGCAGGTGGGGAGAACGAACACAGAGGCAAAACATGTGAGCAGTATAAACTGTTGATAATGGATAACAATGGATAACAATGGATAACAATGGATAACAATGGATAACAATGGATAACAATGGATAACAATGGATAACAATGGACGACAGTGGATAACAATGGATAATAATGGCTAGTAATGATGATTAATAGTGGTTAAGAGTGCTTCGTTACTATTCGAAGCCCCTGGTTGGTTGACGATTAGTTCGGAGACTATACAAACGAATACATTGGGGATTATGACAATCCATTCGGGGAAGGGTACTGTATGAAATGGTCAAAGCTTGGATTCTACACTTGCAGTGGGAGATGCTCGTACCACAAAAACAAAGTTGAATGACAATGGCCAATAGAAGGATTCCCAAAAACAATGGTATAACCATACCTCATATATCATAACTGGTTGGTGGTTTGGAACATGTTTTTATGAATTTTCATATATTGGGAATTTCATCATCCCAACTGACGAACTCATTTTTTTCAGAGGCATAGGTTGAAACCACCAACCAGAGTATTAACCATCATTAACCATATATTAACCATATATTAAGAGTATATTACCAACCAATGGTAGGTTGAAATCACCAACCAGATAATTTGACCATTGCCATGGTGATCCAAGTTGATCCAGCCCCCAAAATTGGAGATCAATGGACGAAGCGTTTGTTCATTGAAGCAGCAGAACGAGGGAGCTGAACAATGCTGAACATAATCAAGATTGAATCGCAAAGTTTGGTGAACCAAATTGTCAATGGATTGGTTTAAGGGGAAATTTATAGGAAACCACCATATCTAATGGTAAAAACCATGGTTTCCTGTAGATTTTCCCTTAAACCAATCCATTGAAACTGAAGATTCTCATCGAAGAAATGGTGTTTTTTTTGGGTGAAAAAAAATCACGAAGAAATCTGATGGGATTCTGATCAAAGTCATTGGGACCATCGCCATGGAGGATCGTTTTGTTCACTTCGGCGCCTTTTTTTGGGAGACTTTTTTCAAAAAATCTCCGCAAGTGATAGATTCTAATAGATGATTTATGACATAATTTATGATGATGTGCCCATTTAAAATGATTTACCCTTGGAAGACTTTCAATTCCCCGGTTTTTTGGAGGGGCCAATGACCTTCCAGGTCATTGGACAGCCAATTGTCATGAGCAAATTGAACGTATTGAACGGTAGGGTATGACTATGACCAACACAGCATTGCTAGGTCTGCTAGGTCCAAGCGTACAGGGGCCGAAAAAGATTGGTAAGTCGGTTTACAAGTTTGCAACTATTTATATCATTTATATCTATTTACAACTACTTCAGCTTATGGAGGAGACATCAACAGTTGGATGGGTTTATAAACCAGTCTGAAACCGGGGGAGCGGCTTGAAGGCTTCGAAGCTCCAGAAGTAGAACCATCGTCCCAGAGAAGTGTTGTTGGGGTTGCTAGTGAATTGCTATCTCAAAAAAAGTGGTGACTGTCTGTTTACTCCCCAAAAAACATAGAAGGGTCCAGTCTGCATGTGGTACAGCACTCTCTTACCTCATTTCCAGTTCACTTTTCATTAGTCATAGCGCATAGCCTCCAGTAATTTGTTACAGTTTGCTATTGTTTCAATGGCCCTAATCGAAATCGTGGATTTACCCATATTTACCCATTGAAATCGCATGGTGAGTTTCCAACGTTTTTTGTAAACGTTTGGCCGAGGCCGGCCAGGTAGATTCAAAGCCATAAACCGCTCGTTATCGTCATGGCGTCATCTCCAACAAGATGGACCAAATCCAACAGATGATTTGGTGGTGATGATGATGATATCTGTACGGCTAGGATGGTGGCTATTTTTATGGTTGATGATGATGATGATGATGATGATGGTGATATCTTTCTTGGGCTTGGGGGTATAGCCACATTGACATTCTCTTTGCGAATGGTGATGATGGTCACAATTTTCAGCAGCGACGGGGCAGGTGACCCTGTGATGAGTCGGATCTTTTGCAGGTTCCATTGGGAGCAGCAGCGGGAAACTGTGACCATCTGTGACCAGTGCAAAAAAGCTGGGCGTCTTGACACCCATGGAATATGCAGCTTGTCACATCCAAAAAACGACGCGGAATTTCTGTGAATAAACCACCCCATTGCAATGTAAGTTGCTGTACATGTAAACAGCAATTCATCTGCATCTGCGCTTGAAGAGTTTTCTTGTTGCCGCAGTAGACTAGAGGATGGCATGTTTTCTTAGCAATCAAGAGGGAATGCGAATCAGAGTAGCAGGGTGAACCAAATCATACCAAATCAGTTTTGAAGCTTTTCAGTGATGCCATCCCCTCATCTGAAAAAATCCAAGGCATTTCACCCGCGTTTCGTTTTTGTTGTATCAGCCGATGGAAGTAGATTGTCAGCCGATGGAAGTTCCTATCCTTTAGCAGTAAATCCCATAAATTCGATGGGGTAAATCATGGTAGATCCAATCTTACCTTTTTTTTTGTTGGTTGAAATATATATATATATGAATAACATATAAAGTATACAATATACCTATACATGAATATCTATACATGATTATATAATATACCCACTATCCCGGCTGGGATACTTAAAAAGTGAAGAGCTTCCACCAAAATCCAACAGATCAACAGCTGTCAGCATCGGCTTCCCTTGAGTTGTTGAAAAAATCATCTTCCGAATTGGTGGGATGGTGATGGCAAAAAAACATGAGGATCGAGCTGAGAATCTGAGGTTAGGATTTTGTGTCAGCATTTCTCGAGCTGCTTTCAATGGAAGTGAATGCGCCACAGGGATTCACGGCGTCCACACTTGCAATGTTCAGCTACTTCCTCCTTCCACCACGGCATACAGAATACCGGGACCGCACAGGTTGTCGAATGCTGGTGGAATGTGGATAGAGGAACATGGTAAGGATTTAGTTGCACGGATCTCCTCAGTTCACCCGTTCTGGATGAACTTTGCACTTCTTGCAGGTGCTGTCCACCGGACCAGTCACATGTGTTGTGACTCCAATACCCCTATTTTTGGGCGGAGAATTCTGTCACCTTGCCTTGATGGGGGTGCACTGCTTTGCAGCCATGGGAGTGCCTTGCGTCAAGGGGACGCAAGGTGGGGGGAATTTCTCCAGTGCTGAATTCATGACAACTCATGGAAACGGATTTGGTTCAGGTGATTGCTCGCGCCTTGCTGCGTAATTATTGAAGCCCTTCCAACATATCGGGGGAGCCTCGGAATCATCTTGGAAGATGCTCGTTTGGAAACATCCATGAGTCATTCCCAACAGACTGGAGTTTCTGTCAAGAGTAAGACACCTATCACTTGTTTGAGGTTTGCCAATTTGCTCAACTTTGCCGGATTTTGCCCCTCTATCAAGACCGGAAGAAGAACTAAGATGACATCATATAAAACTGGAATAAGAACTGTATCCAATGGATAGGATGAAGCTAAGGAAATATGGGTATCCTACTCCATACTCCCCATTAAATGAGGAGCAAAGGAGCTATTGAGAGTTTCCCAGCCACATGAGTTTCCTGCAATCAGATCGCGGTGCAGTTCCAGTTCTAAGTGGCTAGAGGCCCCATATCCATATGCCGTTTATTCCCAACTTACGGGGGAAAACTACCATAGTTAGTGATAGTCGTACCCATTAAGAATCATTAAGAACCATTCTTAACCACTATTAACCAGTAATCATTATTAACATTCATTCACCATTGTTGACCCCGTTTTTAACTTCATTGTAATATGTTACAGTAATATCCATTTTCATAACAATTTTTATAAAACGAATCTGCAGAATTTCACCATCATCCCCATCATCCCTCATGGCTTCTAGCAGATAGCACCCTGTCGTACACTTTTGTACCACACGCAGTCACGCGGTCGGCAATGACGGTGGTGTCTAGAGGTGTTACGTCCTCGTCGCAGCCGCATGCAGCCGCTACATGTTTAAACCATGCGCAAAATGAGTGGCTTTTCTCAACAGACATCAGGATGTGAAAAATGATGTTCACATATGAAGATGATCATTGAATCCCATTAAATTCATATATATATATACATAGATCCCAATAATCTGTATAAATTCCATGACATCCCATTAAAAAAAGGACATATTGATCATACTGACTTTCTTGCTCTTCGATATTAGTGGTATTTGTTTCCCGATTCTCCAGGATGTGACACATGAACACCGTCACCGGTGGATTCTCCAGGGGATCAGACCGTGCCGCAACGCGGAGAGACATCGGTCGTGTTTGGGACTAATTCGACCATCTTTTAGCGGGGCGCGTTTAATGCTGGCTGCCAGTGCACAGGCACGGGTAACTGGATGCCCAAAAAAGTTTACAACTGCACACCGTTTGGAAACTTGAACGGTTGAATTTCAGCTTGCACGGAGGGTAGGTTTCAGATAATTCTTGCTGAATTGACGATGGGCAGGAAAACTTCATCAACGTTCAAACTTAACCTTACATATTTCATTGTACTCCTATGTGTTTCTTCATATTTTGTTGTCTACAGCCTCGGTCATTCTGAAACCATTTGAAACCTTCTCACCGTTTGTAGGAGAGCTCCAAAATCTTTGCGGTGTTCGGTCATACGTCTGCCGCGGGTATCAGCGATCTAGTCATGCACGGGTCGCTGGATTTGCATCGGTCCAATTCCACCCAAGATCACCGATATTGTTGGAACGGAGAGTAGCTACCGTCAATGAAACATGGCCCGGAAAATGTCCAGTAAATGATGTAAATGAACATTTAAATAGATGGAATGGGCCATGGGTGATTCTTCATTGTCATATATTGTCATGTTTGACTACCAGAGGCCGGATCTTCTTGTTTTTTGCGTCTAAGTCTAAGGTTTGCTACAGTCAACTGGTCATCTCTATGCTTCTATCCTTTAGCCTAAGAATCATGAACCTGTATCAGCAATTCGCGCAGAAAATCCATGTGTTCGCAGTTTTCCATCGGAGTGAATCCTTACCACTTGCCAGTTGACCATCGGACCATCGGCAAGTTTTCATTCAGTTTTTGCATAACTGGTTGGTGATTTGGAATATGGCTTTTATGAATTTCCATTCAGTTGAATGTCATCATCCCAACTGACGAAGTCAGTCATATTTTTCAGAGGGGTAGGTCAACCACCAAGCAGAAAATCTATCATATCCATCCATATCCCCATATGATTGATTAAATCTCAATTTAAATCATATTATAAATCCTCAAGCATCAATGGTTATAGTAAGTTATAGACATTGACCAACCAGATTTTATCAGTCGGTTTTTATCCATGGTTTTTCTCCAGGATCATCCAGGATCATCCAATCCTGGTTTGGTGCGGTCCTGGACCGGAGCCTACGGAACACATGCCTCGATGAATCGACCAAAAAAGCGACCGGAGACGTGGAAAATCCACAGAATTTTGAGCAGAATCTTCATGATACGATTGATATGTAGATATATGTAGCTCATGATCTTCCAGGTCTCTGTTGAACTTGTTGTTTTCGATGCATCTTTTTTGGGGTTGCTATATATTATTATATATATATAATATGATATAATATGTTATATGTATTCTGATGCTACATGTTTTTGTTTTTGCCCCTAAAGATTGCCAGTTTAAAGATCATCGTAGATTGTATGCAGTTTGAGTTTGGAATTAAAGGTCACTCTTTGCCGATGACCAATACTCCTGTGCTCGCCGCGAAGAATCTTAGAGTTTGAGTATTGGGATGATTGAAGTTTGGTTGTGTGTTTGTGTGGTTGTTTGTTTGTTTGTTTGTTTTAAATACTCTCTGGAAATTTCACATGTCTATACAAAATCCATCAGAATCTACCATTTGTAAGTGATTTCCATGCGTAGCTCTGTTCCCCTCTTCGGGCCATGGGAAAAACGCAATTTCTGGCAAGTGGGTTACAACCCACCAACAGATCATTTATCCCTTTCCGAAGTAGTTGACTAACTCCATGGCCCATCTAAGTACCCTCTGGTAATTTAACATAGCTATGGAAAATCACCATTTTTCATGGGAAAATCCACTATAAATGGCCATTTTCAATAGCTATGTTATTTTACCAGAGGGTATTGACTTTTGGTGATTTTCCGCGTTACTTGACCAGAGGGTAGTCCTCCATGCACCGCAGGAGCCAGGCCAAAACCGACGCGGACATGGTCCTCGTCGGCATGGACGTGGACGGCGCACGGGGGCCAACTGCATCGAAGTCAATTGGCAGCCGCCTGCGCAGGCCCTTGGAAAGCAGGGAGTTTTGGGCAAATTTACCCCAGGATCTCAGAAGATGTAGTGAAGCAATGAATTATAGTGGCTTAATGGTGATATCATCTGGTTTATTCGATGTTTTATTGAACCAATATGAAAACCAATAGTGTTCAAAACCCCTGTTGGTTGATGATTTTTTTGGGGATTATACCACCCAATATATTGAGGATTATAGTCATCCAATACAGGAATCCCTATAAATCAACCAGTATAATGGAATGATAGATGGATTTTGAACACTGCTCACATGTGTAAAAACCACGGCCAGGATCTCAGAAGAGATACTGAAGCAATGAATTATAGAGGCTTAATGGTGGTATCATATGGTTTATTCAATTTATTCGATGTTTTATTGAGCCAATATGAAAAATCAAGAATGGTGGTATCATATGGTTTAGATATTTTTAGATATTTGATGGGACTTCAAATCAAGTTGATAATGTCAACCCTGGATCAATAAACCCCAAACGGCTGTTTAATTGGGAAGGTAGCATTTAAATCATTCAAGTATCAAATCATGACTATTGGGGGAATACCACCCTAATTAATAAACCATGGTTTATGAATCCGGGGTTGACATTATGATGTTTGTGGGTGTGTCTGAAGGGGACTTGATCCCCTGAAGCCAGGCCCCACAGGGCGTGACACCCAAATCCGCACCGCAGGAAGGCCCAGAGCATAGGAAGACCTCACTTAAAGAACTCAGAATAAAATGATGGTATGTACCCTTTGGTAAACATACAAAAAACTATGGAAAATCACCATTTCTAAATATGTTTAATGGGTAAATCAACTATTTCTATGGTCATTTTCAATAGCAAAGTGTTAGTTTGCCAGAGGGTAAGGGAAACATTGGGAAACCATCTGCAAAACAGTAAATTTGTCAGATGAGGACTGATTGCAATTATATAGATCGACTAGCAGATCAACAGCTCAACAGCTATGCCACGTGCTGAACATATGGAGGTTTCCAAAGTCATAGGGGCTAATTTCGAAATTTTATCCATTGAATTTCTGGATTTTCCATAATATAAATATATATGGCTATGGATCAATACCTATATACATACCATTTTTAGGGGGTTATTCACATCCATAAATCCCAGCTATTTTGATGTGAACTACAGGGGTACTATTGGTTTTGACACACTGCCATATAATTATATATGTTTATTTTATGGAAAATTCCACTAAAAATGGTATTAATAGGTATTGACCCATACCCATATATATACTAAGACCATCCAGCTATTGGGGTACCCCTATGTTTTTGGAAACCCAAACCGCAGTCGAGTTGATCCGATTTCTTAGGCCGCGAAAGCCTTCGTTGTCGCCCTCGCCCATTGGTCCTGGGGGACGAGGTGGACGAAGATGTGGGTAGCCTCCAATGTTTACCCTCTGGTAATTTAACGTAGCTATCGAAAATGACCATTAATAGTGGATTTTCCCATTAAAAATGGTGATTTTCCATAGCTATGTTAAATTACCAGAGGGTAGGTTCGTGGAGTTTTTACCCACCGTGAAGATAGATCATTTTCCCATATTTTCCCTGTGTTGACTGTGTTGATTCAAGGGTTTTCCACATCTAAAATTGTTAGTTGACCCCGAAATCGGGTCGAAGTTTGGATAAGTTTGGAGCTTTGTCTCAATTTGTTTCATGACCCAAGTACCCCAAAGTCAAAGCTATGCGAGAGCCATTTGGGTACTCGCACCTTGCTACTGAAAATCCTCGAGAATTTGATGACTGAAATGAACACAGAGTCTGTAGATGGCAGTCTGAAAGTTTTATTTTCATAGCAAAATGTAGAGCCGACATTCTTGTTTATTCTTGTACCCCCCAGCAATCAAACTGGCAATGGGAAATCCCGGAACAACGGAGTTTTTTTCTTAATAGCTGGGAAATTTTCCAGAACTAGATGGTGGATTTTCCTGCCGCGTTTGATGACACCGGAGGGTATACCATTTAAAGAACCATCTCCATCAATTCTTGGTTACTCTTAAATATCCAATGCTACTCATCACACATTTCAGCCAGGGATGAGTTCCCCTACCATCAACTATCTACTTGGATGTGTGGGTCCCACTTAGGACCCATGGTTTACAATCCGTTAATTTAATCCATATATAATTAATCATTAATCCCATTTACAAGTGCATAAATCCCATATAATCCCATACAATCCCATATAATCCCATATATATAATCCCATACAATCCCATACAATCCCATATAATTTATCAGATATAATCCTATAATCTCCCATATCTAAGTGAGGCTCTTCCGCCGTTGTTCAGCTCTTTTTTTGTGCGTAGGTCGTCCCACCCCTGCCTGGCAGAAGACTGAAGGCATGGGCACCATGGCAGGTGCGCGCCGATTGTGTTCCCAAGGGGGTTCCCTGGGAAAGGCGGAAACCCTAGGGGAAATGAACCAAAAGATGTGGAAAAGCCATGAAAACCCATGGTTTTTTGCCGGAAAACGATCTACTTGAATAGATTTGAATCGTTGATTTTCCCACGATCTTTTTGTTCATTTAGCCCTCAGGGTACCCTCTGGTAATCAAACATAGCAATGGAACATCCCCAAACTAAATGGAGGTTTATAGCTGGGAAAAGGATCTGTCAATGGGAGATTACCATAAGGTAGACGGACACATCTATGAGTCCATTGGTAATCCTGTATCAATCCATATCAGGGAACCACAGAAAATGCGGCACACGGATTGGTAGAACTACTGTTGACTGTCCTTGGTTGAGCTCAGTGGTAAAGGGTTGTTTTGAGGAAGACTTGCTGCGGCCCCATGGCTTTCTCTTTCGGGAGAAAGGCTATGAATTTGCACCCAGCATGAACATGTTTGGTGACACATATTTGGGTTGAAACCACCAATCAGATTACAGATACTACCCTCTGGTAATTTAACACAGCTATTGAAAATAACCGTTTATAGTGGATTTACCCATTGAACATGGTGATTTTCCATAGTTTTTTGTATGTTTATATATATATATATATATGATAGATGAATTTCCCATCTTTGTTGCTTCGGTGCCCACGGAAAACCAAAAGCTTTGATTTTTCCATCTCTGATGACTCCGGCTGATCAGGAGCCGCCCCCGCAGGCTCAGAGAGGGGGACATGGAGGATCAGCCCACGGGTAGAAACCCTAGTTGTAACCTACGCATAAATGGGGACCACCCCACTTAGGGGGATGTGCTAAACCAGGACGATGAACTTCAGTCGTGACTCGGCGTTTCCCTGGGCGTCCCTGGTTTTGGCTCAAGGTTTGAAGACATTCATTCTGATATCTGACATGCCATAGATTTTCCACCCCATTTTACAGCCCAAACCTGAGAGTTTCTCAAACACCAAATGGGACCGGCTCAAAACTATGAAGTCCCAAAACTGGTTGAGCACATGTTGTACAGTAAGTCAACCTAAAACTGCTGTAAATTACAAGTTACAGTAACTATAGCCCCACACAATCCTAAGCGATTTGGTATCCAGAATGGCCCACAAGATCTTTACTGGGCGTCAAATGTCGTTTGCTGCGTGACATGAGCGTCTCCAGCAGCGATGGCAACAAAACTCTGGGGCCCTTCTGTGGTGAAGCAACTTGGGCAAAAACTGGTCCGAAGCACCGACAAAATTGATGTATAGCAACCCCTGAAGCGATAGATAAGTTGGACACCTGGAAAGTATGGAGGGAAACATCATTAAAACACCATCCTGGGTGTTTCGGCCTCTTTTGTAGGGGTTACTATTGATCGTGTGCATGTTTGAATATGTCAAAACAACATCCTGGAAAATCCTAGACAACTTTTCCATACTGTTCCTGACTAATTCTTTGCTGTTAGTGATACATGGCCAAGTCTGTGAAGTGACATGATGCTACAGGGTCCTGCAGGTGGAAGGGAAGTTCTGCTGCAAGTCCAAAGAATGGCTTTGCGGATGTAGGTGCGGCACACAGACTGTTCCGGATGCCTAGGAAGGCCCCCGGAAGCTGGATACCCAAAGATATCCACAAGAAACCCATTGCAAAATTCAAGCACTTCCCCCCACTTCCTTGACCCACTAATAGGTGTCTCTTTGATGCTTTAATAAGGGTTTATCAACTGCCAGCAGCCACTAGTACAGGCTTGTTGAGCATTTACCACTGGGTTACTTTTTTTTGGGGTGTTTGAATCCCCATGATAAACATATTGCGCCAATATTGTGGCTCACAAGTGTGTGAAACCTGAAGAAAGACAGGATAGTCATGGATAGTCTACAAACTACCAATAATTGTGAGTTGTGTTTTTTTAAACTCTATTTTCAGATTTTGAGCCATTGTCAGCCACCTGCTGCGCTATGATTCGAAGACTTCATGTGTGCATAATTTGAAGGTTGATATAATATACTTGTACTCAACTAAAAAACTTTTTTTTTGCTTTTTTTTTTTTTCCAATGGTATCTCATAACCTTGGTATTTTATCTACAAGTTGTTTGTTCCATCTTTCCCAATTTTTTCCATGGGTTTTCTTGTTCGGTAAATTATATCGCTATATCAGGCTATATCTCCATGTGTTTTCTTTTTCGATGTTTCCAACCAAAGAATTTCTCCTCACAGTGCCGCCGTTCGCACCGGCCAGATCCAGCGGTTGCGAGGGCGGCCTTCTTCGCTCGGAGCTGTTGAAGCTGGACTTTGGGGACGCCGTGGTGCGCATGGCGACCTTCAAAAAGGTCATGAAGGCGGCGCAGCGGCGCAGCGGAGGGCTTGGGCGAAGTCGAAAGATGTCGAAGATGTCGAAAGTGAAAACAGAGACTGGGAGAACTTAGGGTTGAAGTAGGTGATACTTGGTAAAGCGAACTATGGCTTGAGATGGGCTGATGATGGGATGACTTGATTTGGATGCATTTTTTCTCGGATGATTTTCTCCCCAATGACTTTGGGATTTTGAGGGTTGAGACCTCCAAGCTAGGTGGCTGTGGAAGCTCGACCTGGCTGGAGATCTGCAGAAAACCATCCGCGATCTGCCCAGTTGTAGCTGACGGATTCCCAGCTGTTTCAACAAAAATGGATGAAAAGCTGAGTTATCTGAGTTTAAATGGGTGGTCACAACATGTCACAACTACAACTATCAATTCATCCCTAAAAGTTTGGCTATTGCATTGCCCGGGAGGTGCCTTCATGCATTTGTACGGCAGGTGTGACGCAGTGTTGGGGGGTGGGGGTTTGCAGTCGAAGAAAAATTGCAATGGCATGCAATGGCAATTTCGCAATCTGTCAATTTCTCCAGTTCTGACTTGACCATACTTTAGATTTTAGTAGATTTAGTAGCTAATAGCCAGATGTGGGTATGGGTCAATACCTATAGATACATTTTTAGTGGGTTATTCACATCCATAAATCCCAGCTATTTTGGGGTTCACGGCACGGTACCAGGGTTTTGACCCATCCCCATGTATTGAAAAGCCAAGTTTCGGTCCAGCAACTGCTTGGAGTCATCTGATCTTCGGGACCACATGGAGAAGTCACCGTGACTGAATTGTAGATCACTTTCCGAACGGGAAACCCTTGGATTTCCATATACCTAGCTAACACACATATATATATATATATCATATATATATAATCTCATCCAAATCTAAATCTAAGTCCAATCTTAATATACATAATATATATATAATTATATATATATATATATATTAATATTATACATCTCTATATATATATGTATATATATATAATGGACATCTTCAGCCGCCCGACACCTGGCAGGCGGCTGGTTAGACAACTCCTGGGTTCTCTGGCTGCTGGGAGGAGCTGTAGAGTGGAAGGAGCTGGATGGCGAATGTAAGCCCTGCAGCTTGGACCTATGGAAATCCTCAGAAGATCCAGGATTTAGCAATGGAAAAATGGATGAAGATGGGAGATATTTCACTTAAAAAGATGGGATTTCTCTGGCTGTTGAGGCTCGTTCCAGGTCCGGGGCGATTTTTCATGATGGCGCTAGGCCGCCAATGAGTTGGGATATGGCATCGGCCCCGGCCACATACCTACTTTAATTGGAATTGATCCGCCGGAGTGTGGCTCGACTGACGGACTGACGGACTGACTGGATTGTTTTTGGGAGGATTCATGTTTCTCGCTGTAAATCAACCATAATGAAACCAACAACCATCAACAACCGTAGCAGATCGTAGCACTACACTTGTCATAATATATTATACGATCTTGAATCCTTTATCTGCTGGGCAGCTAAGAACCGTCTTGATAAAAGGACCACTGGAGTTCAACGTGGACAACTAAACAATTGTTGATACTCGAAATTGCATATGAAAAACAATTTGGACCATGTTGTAAACAACTCGGAATGATACACACATATATAACATATATGTATAGACATAGACTGATTAAACGAATCACATGATATCAAATGATGATGAAATTGCGGAATCAGATCATGATGGATCACTTTTTTTAGGTAACCATATGGTCACCATATGGTCACCATATGTCACCATGGTGAATTCTTCCCCGGGACAACTATCATCATCGACTCAAACGACTTTGAGTCGCCAGCCGTGACACCAGGTACGGAAGCGCCAAGCCATGCATGGAGTGAGATTGAATTGCCACGCAGCCAATGTGCCTGGACAATCTGGCGATCTGGCGATCTATGTCACCATTGGTTTTAGCGTTTGATTCGTACACATCCACCTGTTTTCAGAACTCTGGGGATGCTCTGATATACTTCGAACTCGTGGTTGACACTGTTTTCGTTTGCTTTTCAAGAGCTTTTCAGATTCACTTCCCCGCAAGAACGTCTTCCAAGCCAGTACTTGACTTGAGTGACTTGCAAATGACCACAGCAGTGGCAATTGCTTCGGTTCAAAGAGCATTTAGGCACTTCTTTGCATTTCATTGAAGGCTTTGCGCAGTCATTGCAAGCTTGCTCCACAATCTGTGGTTGTGTGGCAAAATGATGTGGTGTGAGGTGACATGAGGTGACATGATGTGACATGATGTGACATGATGTGAGATGATGTGACATCATGTGACATGATTTGACATGATGTGTCATGATCTGGCATGTTCGAGTCCCTGTGATGATCTTGAAAACTAATTAGATGTCAGAGGATGCGGCTACATCCTAAGCATGAAGACAAACCATGCGCGTCGACTGAGGACTTTTCCAAACATTGCTGGTTGTATTGAATTATAGAGAGATTGGAGAGCTTTGTTGCGACCTGCACATGTGTTCTACACTCCTGTGTTGCAAGGTTGATTTTGTAGTTATTTCATGTTATTTCAATGTAAACATGTGTATGGCTTGAGATAGCAATGATGATCAGCAGATATCCAACACCCTTTCTCTGAGACTCTTCCAAGCCAGTACTTGACTTGAGTGACTTGCAAATGACCACAGCAGTGGCAATTGCTTCGGTTCAAAGAGCATTTAGGCACTTCTTTGCATTTCATTGAAGGCTTTGCGCAGTCATTGCAAGCTTGCTCCACAATCTGTGGTTGTGTGGCAAAATGATGTGGTGTGAGGTGACATGAGGTGACATGATGTGACATGATGTGACATGATGTGAGATGATGTGACATCATGTGACATGATTTGACATGATGTGTCATGATCTGGCATGTTCGAGTCCCTGTGATGATCTTGAAAACTAATTAGATGTCAGAGGATGCGGCTACATCCTAAGCATGAAGACAAACCATGCGCGTCGACTGAGGACTTTTCCAAACATTGCTGGTTGTATTGAATTATAGAGAGATTGGAGAGCTTTGTTGCGACCTGCACATGTGTTCTACACTCCTGTGTTGCAAGGTTGATTTTGTAGTTATTTCATGTTATTTCAATGTAAACATGTGTATGGCTTGAGATAGCAATGATGATCAGCAGATATCCAACACCCTTTCTCTGAGACTTCTTGAAGAGATCTGTTCTGCATCCCTCATCGCTCTGATCGGCACTTGTGCATGTTGGGCATGGTACGCATGCATTGGTTGAAAGAGCATTCAGGCACTTCTTTGCATTTCATTGAAGGCTTTGTGCACATTGCAGCAATTTGCAAGCTTGCACTACAATCTGTGGTTGTGTGGCACCACGTGGTGTGATGTGACATGATGTGACATGATGTGACATGATGTGACATGATGTGAGATGATGTGACATCATGTGACATGATTTGACATGATCTGGCATGTTCGAGTCCCTGTGATGATCTTGAAAACTAATTAGATGTCAGAGGATGCGGCTACATCCTAAGCATGAAGACAAACCATGCGCGTCGACTGAGGACTTTTCCAAACGTTGCTGGTTGTATTGAATTATTAAGAGATTGGAGAGCTTTGTTGCGACCTGCACATGTGTTCTACACTCCTGCGTTGCAAGGTAGATTTTGTAGTTATTACATGTCATTTCAATGTAAACATATGTATGGCTTGAGATCGCAATGATGATCAGCAGATATCCAACACCCTTTCTCTGAGACTTCTTGAAGAGATCTGTTCTGCATCCCTCATCGCTCTGATCGGCACTTGTGCATGTTGGGCATGGTACGCATGCATTGGTTGAAAGAGCATTCAGGATCATTCAAGCACTTCGTTGCATTTCATCAAGGGCTTTGTGCACGTTGCAGCAATTTGCAAGCTTGCACTACAATCTGTGGTTGTGTGGCACCACGTGGTGTGATGTGACATGATGTGACATGATGTGACATGATGTGACATGATGTGACATGATGTGACATGATGTGACATGATGTGACATCATGTGACATCATGTGAGATGATGTGACATCATGTGACATGATTTGACATGATGTGTCATGTTCGAGTCCCTGTGATGATCTTGAAAACTAATTAGATGTCAGAGGATGCGGCTACATCCTAAGCATGAAGACAAACCATGCGCGTCGACTGAGGACTTTTCCAAAATCTGTTTGGTGTACTAGTATTGAGAGATTGGAGAGACTGGTTGCCACTCCCACATGTGTTCTACACTTGGCTGGCCTGCGTTGCAAGGTATATAGATTTTGTAGTTATTTCATGTCATTTCAATGTAAACATGTGTATGGCTTGAGAACGCAATGATGATCAGCAGATATCCAACACCCTTTCTCTGAGACTTCTTGAAGAGATCTGTTCTGCATCCCTCATCGCTCTGATCGGCACTTGTGCATGTTGGGCATGGTACGCATGCATTGGTTGAAAGAGCATTCAGGATCATTCAAGCACTTCGTTGCATTTCATCAAGGGCTTTGTGCACGTTGCAGCAATTTGCAAGCTTGCTCCACAATCTGTGGTTGTGTGGCACCACGTGGTGTGAGGTGACATGATGTGTCATGTTTGAGTCCCTGTGATGATCTTCGAAACTAATTAGATGTCAGAGGATGCGGCTACATCCTAAGCATGAAGACAAACCATGCGCGTCGACTGAGGTCTTTTCCAAACATTGCTGGCTGTATTGAATTATTGAGATATTGGGGAGCGTTGTTGCGACCTGCACATGTGTTCTACACTTGGCTGGCCTGTGTTGCAAGGTTGATTTTGTAGTTATTTCATGTTATTTCAGTGTAAACATGTGTACTTAAGAACGCAATGATGATCAGCAGATATCCAACACCCTTTCTCTGAGACTTCTTGAAGAGATCTGTTCTGCATCCCTCATCGCTCTGATCGGCACTTGTGCATGTTGGGCATGGTACGCATGCATTGGTTGAAAGAGCATTCAGGATCATTTAAGGCACTTCGTTGCATTTCATCAAGGGCTTTGTGCACGTTGCAGCAATTTGCAAGCTTGCTCCACAATCTGTGGTTGTGTGGCACCACGTGGTGTGAGGTGACATGATGTGTCATGTTTGAGTCCCTGTGATGATCTTGAAAACTAATTAGATGTCAGAGGATGCGGCTACATCCTAAGCATGAAGACAAACCATGCGCGTCGACTGAGGACTTTTCCAAAATCTGTTTGGTGTACTAGTATTGAGAGATTGGAGAGACTGGTTGCCACCCCCACATGTGTTCTACACTTGGCTGGCCTGCGTTGCAAGGTAGATTTTGTAGTTATTACATGTCATTTCAATGTAAACATATGTATGGCTTGAGAACGCAATGATGATCAGCAGATATCCAACACCCTTTCTCTGAGACTTCTTGAAGAGATCTGTTCTGCATCCCTCATCGCTCTGATCGGCACTTGTGCATGTTGGGCATGGTACGCATGCATTGGTTGAAAGAGCATTCAGGATCATTTAAGGCACTTCGTTGCATTTCATCAAGGGCTTTGTGCACGTTGCAGCAATTTGCAAGCTTGCTCCACAATCTGTGGTGGTGTGGCACCACGTGGTGTGAGGTGACATGATGTGTCATGTTTGAGTCCCTGTGATGATCTTGAAAACTAATTAGATGTCAGAGGATGCGGCTACATCCTAAGCATGAAGACAAACCATGCGCGTCGACTGAGGACTTTTCCAAAATCTGTTTGGTGTACTAGTATTGAGAGATTGGAGAGACTGGTTGCCACCCCCACATGTGTTCTACACTTGGCTGGCCTGCGTTGCAAGGTAGATTTTGTAGTTATTACATGTCATTTCAATGTAAACATATGTATGGCTTGAGAACGCAATGATGATCAGCAGATATCCAACACCCTTTCTCTGAGACTTCTTGAGATCTGTTCTGCATCCCTCATCGCTCTGATCGGCACTTGTGCATGTTGGGCATGGTACGCATGCATTGGTTGAAAGAGCATTCAGGATCATTTAAGGCACTTCGTTGCATTTCATCAAGGGCTTTGTGCACGTTGCAGCAATTTGCAAGCTTGCTCCACAATCTGTGGTTGTGTGGCACCACGTGGTGTGAGGTGACATGATGTGTCATGTTTGAGTCCCTGTGATGATCTTCGAAACTAATTAGATGTCAGAGGATGCGGCTACATCCTAAGCATGAAGACAAACCATGCGCGTCGACTGAGGTCTTTTCCAAAAATTGTTGGTCGTATTGAGAGATTGGAGAGCTCGACCTGGTTCTTATTGTTCATAAATGACAACGTCAACCATTTTTTGCCTCGCAGTGCTTGTGCTTGATTTTTGAGCGGAACCAGATGGTATGCTTTGCGCCATGATTATTCCATGGGATTTTATGGAGATTGGCCTTCTATCTTTGGTACTCAAAATGAGTAGGAACTAACTTTTCAGATACATGTATAATATATATATATATATATATCAGGGTAAATTATAACGACCTCACTGCGACCAAGCCCTGGAAATCATGGTTAATAAGGGAAATCATCCCCAAATGGCCTTAATTCAGGTTAGTGAAATATTATAATTTACCCATATATATATATATATGTATACAGCACATTACAGTACAATACAATGTATAAATATATATATATATATATTATATGTATCTATAATATGAATTATTTTGAATTCTCAATTTAATCCATTTTTGGTAGTTCAGTCATACTTGTAATAATCCAATTTTGAATTGCTCATCCAATTTCATACTCCCGTTATATTCCATAGTATTTTTCATGAAATGTTATTTGGTTTATGGTTGGTCCCAGATTATTGGATTCACCTTTTCATCAAATAACCTGACATATTTTCCATATTTTTCCATCATCCCATGGTTCTCAGGTTATTTGATGCTGGGCGCAGGGACCTCCACCTTCCGCGATCGTGGTCCCAGCGCCTTCCGTTTGTTGCTGCACGATACCACCTTCAGATTCTGGCCGCGGGAGGCGGTTCACGGGAAGACCTCGGGGGATCAGTTGCCCAAGTTATAGCCGTTTTGAGAGGGGAACTCAGAAAATGCACCTTGAGCTTTAAGGGGATTTTGGGAAACAATACTGTATACTAGTTTTATCTAGATTTATTCTAGATTTTAGGGCTACTAAGTTACTGTTGGTCTATTTTCAAGACAAAGCCCACTGTTTTTGCATGGCTTTTGCCGGAGAAACATCGCATCCTAATTGGAAGTACGCGAATCGAGGTTGCCTGATTTTGTTGACGATGAACTCCGATGGATGGACGTTCTTCGAGACCTGATATCGGATACTCCTTCCAAAGTGACCATTGGAAGTCCATCATATGGAAATACCAAGTCTCGGATGGAGAAATCCCCACATCTTTGGTGGAAAAATGTGCGGGTAGTTCCAGGGGAAATGCCGTCAACCAAAACAATGTTGACATGATTAACACGTAGTAAAAGATGTAGATTTTGGCATATTTTACCAACTTTTATGGTTCCTGGAAAAATGCCTTTCAGGGATTTTCAGGGCATAATTTTTGTGACACCTCGAGTCGTGCCATGAACCAGGAAGGCAAACTGATCTATGGTGGTCTGCTACTCCATGAGCCTCTGCTGCCCGGCTATGTTCAGTGCTTTTTGCCCAGGAAATTTTGGGATGTGAACAACCGAACTGGGCCTGAAACCATGCAAACAATGAAGATTAAACATGATTAAACCAACGGAAAAACGTGGACATCACAGACCAACAGGTATTTTTTCTGATACAATCAAAATTAGGCATTCTCCAAGTATAATCCTACAAGCCGAGGCATGAAAGTGCTTGTGACCCATAATAGATTTATGCTTTGGACACCTGGAAACCATCAAAGTGCACTTGGCATTTATGGCCTTGTTTCTTGAGGATGGCAAAGATTTCACACACAGAGAGAACGCTTTGTTTTTGTGAGCTACTTTTTCCAAGTGGTTCCTTGCTCTCCCCTGTAAAATGCATTATGGCTAACTGCAGCAATTTTTTTCTGGATCCTTTGTCAGAACATCGGCGTATCGGACATCCTTCTGTGGGCCCAACAAGTCCGATCGCTGGCTGTTGCACATAGATCGCGGTCTGTCTGTATACATGGGGTATACCCCAATAAGCCATTGTATAGGGAAAGTGATGACTAATCATCAAATTTTTGGGTACCCTATTTTCAGACAAACTCTAATATGAGTTAATTGGATTATATTGATTAATTAGTGATTGATTGGGTACTTATATGGATTATATTGATTAATTAGTGCGGGATGATTTTGCCAATAGACTTCGTGATGGGCCCTCGTAGCCGTCCATCACGCACCAGGTTGCTCGGAGATAACTAAGCCTGATTGACCCACTTGACTTTCATATCTAGTTGGGCCACCAGTTGTATCATAAGTAATTATCAACTTTCTTGTAATATGAATTCTTCAAATGACTCTTTATTTCACCAGTAAATATATAAATGTCAATAAAACTTATTCAATGTTATCCCAAGATACAGTTCTAAAAATTAAAGGCCCATCCTAAAGAAAGCCAAAACAAATATCCAGATATGGCTATGGATCTTTTTAGGGGAATGAACATCCATTTACCAGCTATTTTGATGTTCACCAGGGGTACAAGGTTTTGACACACTGCCATATATCCAGCCAATCATATTTCTGGTGACTCCATACATTTCCCCCATTTTTCCGGTGCAATGCCAAGGCGCCTTGGCGAACGCCACGTGGAGCTGCTACAGCGCCTCATCCACCACGGCGAGATCCGCGACGCGGTGTCGGAGACCTTCGAGCGGAGCCTGGACCAGGACGGAGCACGCGCTGCCGCGTCGCGACAGCGGTGGTGAATACTGGCGAATTTCTGATATATGGTGAATTCCTCTTTGAACCACCATAACTATGGAAGATCACATTTTTTAAATAACATAACTATATATGCAATTTTCAATAGCTATGTTAGTTTACCAGAGGGTAACGGTGAAGAAAGGTGAAAACAACGGTGAATTATGACATATGATGGTGAATTATGCATCAATTACGGTGAATTATTACAGATTTATCAACAATTATGACATGTTATGGTGAATTCCTCTTCAAAACCACTGTTGATTATCCCACAAGAAATTAGGAATTACTGAGATTATTATAATCCATGAAGTGGGACATCCTATTATCATCTATTGATAAGACAGTATAAAAGGGACGACAGAGGGTTTTGAACGTTGCTCAGATAGAAGTGGGTGGATTTCTGGATGATAACGTCGGGGAGTCATCATTAATGACATGTGCGTAAAGAGATATAAAATTATGTCCTAGCCTCCTCCACTATGAATTGGGTCAATGATATTATTCGGTTATATTTCAGATTAAGTTATATTCTGGGATAAATATTTGTAATCACGATTGTCCCAAATATTTCTCCCAGATACTTTCCAGATATGATACTTGCCGAGACGGGAATGGGGATGGGTGCCTGAAATTGAGGTAATTGATGGTAATCGAGCAGCTAAAAAAATCCAATCTTGGATACATTGTGACCCGGGGCCGTCTCATTCTATTCGTGTTTAGTCCATGTATTTCCGCATGACTTGGGGCCGGATGTCTATGGAGAAATGGTCTCAAAACGGTGCCATCTTTGTGAATTCTGCTCGCCCAAATATGTCCAAAACAAAAAAAAATCCTCAGGGAATTGAACATGGCAATGGACATTCCTCCATTTTACATGATTTTACGATTTGAACCACATTAAAAAAAGGATGTTCAATTGCCATATTTGATTACAGTACCAGAGGAAAAAACCATGGCCAGGGACCATTGGGACCATTGAACCCCCATGGATTTCGTTTCATGGGGCGGAGAATCCATGGAACTTATGCGGTTTCGATGTTCCTATTTTTCCTATCCAACCAATCTATTGACCATGAGATATCATGATATCCCTGTAAAATGGCTTGATATCCCCATAGACCATGATACTGCGGTTGCGAAATCCTGCACCACTTTATGGTCGGTGTATCCCATGATAATCCCGGGATGATAGTCCCAGTGTTTCATAGGAATCCCAATAGTTACCATTGGATTTGATTCAATGGATTGGTTTGAAGGGAAAATCTTAACCGGAAACCATCGATTTTCCCATTAAATATGGGGTTTTCCTGTAAATTTTCCCTTAAACCAATCCATGGATTGATTCAATTTAATCCATATGACATCACCTGCTCCGGGGTGTAAAATTCACCTAGGACTTCGACCTAAATCCGCTCTTCCTGGAACTGGTGCCTGGGGAGTTTCGTGTCTGAATCGTAGGGTTTTTGAGTAAAACACAGTAAAACATGCTAAAATGATCTAAAATTATCCCAACATATCCCAAAAAAGAAGTAGTTGTCTACCAAGGTTGGACACTTTCGGGAACGACATTTAAATGTGTGGCGGGCCAGACCGCAAGGCCCCGGAGGTAGTATGAAATACAAGTTCGTATATTTAAAAATCCATATATTTAAATGTAATTACCGTGTATATATATATATATATGATTTTAGGACACTGAATATGGATGAATATGGTGGAACTGAAAAAAATGCTACAGTATATGGACTGCTGCTAGAAGAAATGGTCGGAGGTTCCATGCTTCAACCTTTCGCAAACTTTCGATCACAGGTACTTTTTTAGGGGCTTTGGGAGCTTTTCATATGGCTAGATCCTCAAGGATTTTTAGGGATAGATTCATGTTGGGCTTGTTGGGGCTTTGGGAGCCATGATTCCATCCCCATCAGTCAGTGAGCGAGGTTTACCTTCCAGGACCAGGCTTTGGTCAGCATGGTGGCGGCCTACTTCGGTCTATTTCGCATGCACCTGGTTGGGACAGCTGGAAGTTCTTCTTGGAAACCTGCAACAGGCAATGAACATCCCTGCGCCCAACTAAACAGATACAGGGCTCTTCATGATTTTGGGGTCCATTTGGCAGTTTTTTTTGGTTAATTCGTTCCGTCTCTTCGCATTTATTTAATCTCATGCTGCCTTGAATTTTCCCTTCTAGTTCCTCTTCACAGAGATTATTGCATATCCGCCCCCGCCAAATTGACCACAAATCTCAGGACCAACCATGTTGGCGGATCTTAGATGACATAATATACGTAATCTAATTCCTACACTATGTACTGTATTAATCTGTATTATTGTATATGATATGTACTGTACACAGCAGGAATATAAAATACTGATGATCAATAATAACTTCAATAGTAATACTGCTGTAGTCATAATTAGGAATCATATTGATAGTAAATGTTATGCCCAGACCCCCCCCCGGGGCCCCGTGTCGCTCAACAGTCCGGACGATCCTGCGGCGGAAAGTCAAAACTCCCGCAGCCTTCACAATGTTTACATTCAATGGGGATCAATGGGGAAGATCAAAGAAGATCAATGATATATTCGGTATATACGGTATACACACACACATATATATATATATATATACACAGTATATAAATTATATATATATATATTCTACATTGATCTTCCCCGTGAATTAGGAAGATACGCAACCTGGATCGTCCCCCTGCGGCCCTGGCAATGCCCTGGCGATTCTTTTTAAGGGGGTCCGGAAGAGACAAGTTTGACTTGGCTGATACAATAGATTTTTTCATAGGAACAGCATCAATGAATGGTAAACAGTGATGATAGTGATAATGAAATTACTTTACTTCGTGTGATCCCCACCATGACATTTATACATGTTCTTACTGGCACATCTTCTGGCATTCTATCTGGCATATCTTCTGGCATTCTATCTGGCATATCTTCTGGCATATCTTCTGGCATTCTATCTGGCAAATCTTCTGGCATTCTATCTGGCATTCTATCTGGCATATCTTCTGGCATTCTATATGGCAGATCTTCTGGCATTTGGCATTATATCTGGCATATCTTCTGGCATTCTATCTGGCATACCTTCTGGCATTCTATCTGGCATTCTATCTGGCATTCTATCTGGCATTCTATCTGGCATATCTTCTGGAATATCTTCTGGCATATCTATCTGGCATATCTTCTGGCATATTTTCTGGCGTTCTACCTGGCAAATCTTCTGGCACTCTATCTGACATTTTATCTTCCTACATGAGGTCCGGCAGGGAACACTTGGCGTGGATACTCGCGGTTGAGGTCCGGCAGGGAACACTGGGCGTGGATGGTCGTGGTTGAGGTCCGGCAGGGCACACTGGGCGTGGATGGTCGTGGTTGAGGTCCGGCAGGGAACACTGAGCATGGATGGTCGTGGTTGAGGTCCGACAGAGAACACTGTGGATCGAGGGTCGCAGTTGGACGAGGAGGACGAGGAGGACGACGAGGAGGAGGAGGAGGAGAGGAGGAGAGGAGGAGGAGGAGGAGGAGGACGAGGCAGGAGGAGGCAACTGACATAAAATCTAACAACCCTCACCTGGCAGGTGGGGAAAAATGAAAGTAATGAAAGTAATGATATAGATATAATATATGCACTAATCACAATGATGATAATAATAATGAAGTTTATCCTCAACTTTTTGAAGCACATCGTGCAGAGATAAAGTGATGTGCTGGTTCAACAAGCCCAAGAAGACCTGTAGGTTCCCAGCTCCAAACTTCAAAACCCCTACGTTTGCTAATTTGTTTCCCACCTTTTTCTTTGATATCGCTGTGAAACATGGTCAATTTCCCACTAACACCCTAATCTTGACTGGTAAAATATCCAGATTTGAAGGTATAATCGACCAATCATCATATGTGCTGGTAAACCCACCAAGGGTCTCTTTAGCGCCGGAACCAGTGGACCGGAACCAGCAAATCACAGCAAATCATGATGGCAAAGGATCTCTTTAGCGCCGGAATCTTTACCGGAACCCAGGAAATCATGATGACAAAGGGTCTATTTAGCGCCGGAACTTTTACCGCAACCAGGAAATCACGCTGGCAAAGGGTCTCTTAAGCGCCGGAATCTTTACCGAAACCCAAGAAATCATGATGGCAAAGGATATCTTTGGTAAAAACCGTGAAAAATAGCATATACTTTCCATGTAAAATCCTCAGATCTTCTAGCCTGCTAAAATCATCACATATTGATTTCCATCATAGTCATAACATTTGCTGGTCAAATCCACTAAATGTTCCTCGTCTTTGCTAGTAACATCTCCATTGCTTACAGCTCAAATCCATCAACATTCCAGCAACAATCCCCATTTTGTTCGTAAAAAACACTATAATAGTATTCGTATTATCCACCATAGTCATAGCTTTTTATGGTGAACATTCTTTTTTTTACGGGTCAACATTGATCCCCAGATTTTCTTTTTAGCGAAGAACTTCCGAGGTATTGGCATCTCGGGTCCCTCGGATCCTTCAGCCCCTGGGTGAACTGCGTGGTGACGGCCTTACTCTTCGGGCTCCACCCAGAGCAACTTCTGGAACTGGTCCCAGTGCAGGTGCATCAGGCCGGGTAGGGATGTCATGAGGATTTTTCATGGCGATTTTTCATGGGATTCGATGAGGATTCAAGGGGAGACACTCTGCTGGTTGGTGGTTTGGAACATGTTTTTACAGATGGCACCTGTTGCAACCCATGTTACCCTGACTTGCGATATGCTGCATATGCGCTTGTACTTGCGGATCCGTTTATGTGCCGGCCTGCAGTGATTCTTGATAGTGGATGATAGTGGTCCCTTGCCAGGAATCCGTCAGACATCCACCGTGCTGAACTGTATGCTATTGTGAGGGCTGTCAGGTTTGCCAGTTGTCGCGGGGTGCAGTTAATGATCTGGTCTGATTGCCAAGCAGTGGTTCGGCGCTTTCGCCTTCGCCGTATCTTTCTGGGGGCTCCGGTTCGCATTAGCTCTCCTAATGCAGACTTGTGGATGCTGATCGCAGATGATGTACTAGGCGGATGTAACGTCCAGATCACCAAGGTCGCTGCTCACCAACCTGTGAGCTCTGCCTCCTCGCCCATCGAGGAATGGGGGTTCATGCACAATCAGTTTGCCGATCGTGTAGCTGCCCATGCTAATGAGCGCAGGAGCTCTGCATTCTGGGATCTGCTTGCCCGTCATGCTAGTGCGTGCAGAGTTGTAGATGAGTGGAATGCCATGATGAGTGGAATGCCATGATACAGTCCGTCCTCTTGCAGGTCAGTCGTAAGGTTCTCCTACATGCTAGCCGAACAGAGGAGGTTGAACAGGTCCCGTGTGAATCCCTGCCGTTGCCAGTTTGGAAAGGTCTGCCACAAGCTCCGGTTTGCCCTCCTGGAGCAATCAGGTGGTATGGAGACACAGTTGTTGCCAAAGTGACCCAATGGCTTTGGACTGCAGTGGCTGAGGAAAGGGGACCTGTTGTCTGGATTTCCAATGCCCAGCGGTATGTTGATTATGCGCTGCAGGCGGGGGATGCTGGGCCCATTCATGTGAGGGGATGGCAGGACAGTGCTGATGTTCCGTTGCATGCGCTCCAACACATTGGCTTTAAAGAGAGAACACGATGGTTTGGCATGCGGCAAGGTGTTGAGGGAAATCCTGCGTCATGCAGGTATTTCTGTCCAGTCTCGCTATTGCAGACCGGCCAGCCATATGGTGTGTATGTTTGCAAGTTGCCTTGCAATGCCCTGGTGTGCCCAGCGGCTTGATGCAGTTGACCGATGGCTGCAGCGTTTCTCTGTGGGGCCCTTTAGAAGGCAGTCTAGGGAGTTGGACAGACTGCCAATATCTCAACAGACAAAGTGCTGTCTTCGTGACCCAAGGCAGTGCATTGCGCAAAGCGGTACAAAGTGGTGGTTTGGAACATGAATTTTATGACTTTCCATTTATTGGGAATAGTAATCCCAACTGACTTTCATATTTTTCAGAGGGGTCGAAACCACCAACCAGTCTAATATGGTTTGAACATACCTCAGCATACCCCATGTCCACCTTGAAAGGATGTTAGATACGCTTGAGGCTCCGCTTGAGGGGTATATTGCATTTCTTTTAGATTGAAAGATTATGGGTTGATTTTTTCAGATTTTGGAGATCATAATTATATAATCAGATCAGACTTGTGATTTTTCAAATCTATGGGAATCCACACAATGAATATGTCCCCAGTGCCTTGTTATTTTCCATTGTATCCCCGTTCTATGCCCAAAAAACATCATTGTGTATTGCCATGTACCCTCCGGTAGTGAAACATGGCTTGCTGGAAAATCCATCAGCTGTTCAATGTTCTTCCCAGCGAACTAAACCTCCATGGTTAGTTCGGGATTTTCCCAGCTACCCATGTTTGAGGGCACGGAGTTGCAGTATCCCAATAACTATCCCAATTATATCCCTTTACATCCCTATCGTTGTTTAAATCTCCATTTCCTCAACAGCCCAGCACTGTGTATCCTCATCCCATTGATTTTCCTACTAAATTCCATTAATCTCATTAAATCCCCATGAAATCACACAAAGTGCCCGTTAAGTCCCATTAAATAGCCATTAAACACCATTAAATTAATTAAATCTTCATGAAATTTCCATCAATCCCACTAAATCACCGCGGGCGGGAAACCCAGGAGACACGGCGCCAAGCGCTCGAGATGAACCGACTCTGGCAGCGCATCCTGCCGGTGCTGGCCACCCGGCCACCGGGATGGATTGCATGGGCTTTAATGGGTGACCCAAAAAACACTCATGTATACAATGTATGTGGTATAATTATATAATACTATATGACTATATATATATATACATACTGTACACATAATTGTATATGAATGGGTCGGGTTGTAACTACACTAAGTGGGTTAGCCCATGTATAAATGGCTTTTAAACTAGTTTTATCTATATAGACGATTGTTACTCACCAGTTACCCTGAGATCATACTCCAAGCCCCCCACGGTCTCCGCTTAGGATGAGGCACGCAATGTCTTCCAGTCAACTGTGGAAGTTCCGAAATTGACATCGCAGCATGGCGAAACGCGATCGTTGATGATCAGATGAATCATATGAGGTTGCACTTTGTTTTTAACAATAAAACCTGGTTGGTGGTTTGGAACCATGGAATTTTATGACTTTCCATCTATTGGGAATAATCATCCCAACTGACGAACTCATATTTTTCAGAGGGGGTTGAAACCACCAACCAGTATAACTATAGGGGTTATCACAATCTATCACTGCAGTATGGGGATTCATATTAACCAAATCTAACCAACCGGTTTTTGAAGGGACGATGCGCCGTTTTTTTTCTGCTCAAGTGGGTATGGGTAACCTTGTTGACTGAGGGCGACGCAATGAACCAAAATGTTCGATTTGTTGTTGACCCCTGTTGATTGCTGGTTCCGTTTTTGTACCTTTTTATCAATGAATGGGTGTAGATTCAAGTTCAAGGCGCAGCCAAAGCAGAGATGAACTGATCATGCTTAGTATCGACAAATTTTTGGATGCGCCCCAACTGTGACTCCAAAGGATCCCGCCCGGGCCTGTTTCCATAGAAACGGGCTGTAACGGGTTGGCGGACTCTAGCTGCTCTGAAGGTTGCTATGTCCTTTTCTGCTCTGTTTAGTAGCAAGTAAAGCCAATTTATTGTTTTTGAAACGCTTCAGAGGTTGCTTCTGCAAATATTGATAAGAAAGAAAGGGTTCTCGGTTCTCCCTACAAAATCAAGATGGGCTGCAAGGACTGCACAGTCAAGTCAGTAGCAAGCATGTTCTGGAGGGAGCGAGTGACCCCCCGAAGTTGTCTGCTGACATCCCTGAAACCAGTAGATACTTGCAGTAAAGTCCTTACTAACCTGATATTCCCCGCTCGCATTCCATGATTCGCAGAGTGTGTACATCACATGCTTTGACACCAATCAGTGAGGGACAAACTGGGCTGACTCACATCACTCCAATACCGACAATTAAAATCAAATAGACATTATCATGATGATGCTAAATATCTACTGACCGTGAGCATAATAAATGGTGATGATTATCATCACTAATGTTTATATTATATTATTTGTTATATGTAGTTAAATACTATATATATATTATATTCTATATTATATATTCTATATTATATATTATATATATTATATATATTATATATATATTATTTCTTATATATAGTATGTTATATATATTATGTTATAAAGATTTAAAACATGTTAAATCTGTATTATATATCATATATTATATATGATATATTATTTTATATTATATATTAAATATAATATTTTATGATATATTATAAATTTGATATTAAATATTATATATTAAATATTTTAAATTAAATATAAATTGTATATATTATACAGTATATTATGTATTTTATATTATATATTATATATTATATATTTTATATTATACAATATATATTATATATTTTATATTATATATTATATATTATATGTTCATATTTTTTATATGATATATTTTTTTATATTATATATTATTTGAAATAAATCATATATTATTTTTTTTTAAAAAAATATATTTCTGAAATATATGTAAAATATATACTTTTCTTGATCTATTATTTATTATATATTATATATTTTATATTATCTTAATTATTTATTATTTGCTTTATTTATTGTATATCCTGGATTTTATTTCAAAATTTTTAAATTATAAATTATATATTTTATATTTTATATTATATATAATGTATCATGTATTATGTATATTATATATTATTTTCATTTTTTTAAAAAATTTACTATATATTTTAAACATTTTTTTTTTAAATATTATATACTACAAATTATTTTTATATTAGTAGCTTATATTTAAATATTTTATGTTATATTTTTTTATATTGTAGTATATTATAGAATTATACTAAAGTATATTTTTTTTATTATATATATATTTTTTTGATTATTTTATTGTATTATATTTTATTTATTTCAAAATTTTATTTAATATAAATATAATATGAATTAATAAAATACAATACAATATAATTTAATTTAATATGATATAATATAATAAAATACAATAAATAATTTAATATATACTATATAATATAGTATAATATAATATAATATTTTTTCATATAATATAATATAATATAATATAATATATTATAATATAATATAACATAATGTAATATAATATAATATAATAAAAAACAATATAATAAAACATATTATAATATAATATAAGATAAAATAAAATATAAGATAATAAAATATAATATAATATAATATAATAAAATATGATATAATACAATATAATATTATAATTATAATTATAATTATAATTATAATTATAATTATAATATAATATAATATAATATAATATATACCAGTGGATATGAATATGAATAACTACCAAATCATGATCATAGTAGCAGCAAAACCTGAAGGACTTGGTGGTGGTGGTCTCCTCCAAGTCCCTCGGCACGGCTGCTAATGTTTGGAACTACCAACCATATTAAAGTTGAATATTTACCCTCTGGTTATTTAACATAGCTATGAAAAATGGCCCATTTATAGATGATTTATGATGTTTTACCTATGAAAAATGGTGATTTTCCATAGCTATGTTAAATAACCAAAGGGTAAGATATAATTCTGGATGTGTTTACCAATTGATGAAAACTCACATAACTATTAACATGGTTTAAGTTCGACGATTTACCTTTTAACATGGTGATTTTCATGGGTTTTGTTAGTTGACTAGAGGGCAAACCATGGTCAACACGTGGTAAACCACATGTTTTTTTCCAAGCTCCAGTTTTGTCGGTGAAATGGGTGTGAATTTAAGATATGTGTCTCATTGCGGTCTCACCAATAAAACTCACGCGAACCCGGAGCATCCCAAAATTAGCTCTAGATGATGATTCATTTTTTTTGTCAGTTGCAATTTGGAGGTGGTTGACCCCCCACACACATTTGCACAAATTGGATAAGAAAGTACATCCAGTGGGGGATGGCCATGATCATCAGCCCTCGAGGAGAAGTTGAGCGATTGGACCAGGTCCAACAGATTCAACGCTTCCGCTGGAGCTTCGTGCGGAAAGGCCTGGAACCGTTGCGAAGTCATTTGGCTTCAGTGGATCAGGAGCCTGGCTGCACCAAAGTCTGGTAGACTTGGACCTGTGATCAATGATCGTCTCGTTATTTTCGTTGTATATCTCCCCAATCTCTGTAGTTTCAGGATTTGTCCATCATTTTTTTGTATAGTATGGTTGCTTCCATCTCCACTTTTGCTGATGATTCGTGATATTGCACATATAGGTTGAAAGACGCAGAGTTTGACCTTGGGACCTAACATCCCATCGTGGTAACACGTTCCCATTTTAAGACCTAAGATGATGGACCACCATTTTGGGGGGGTACCCTATTTGCAGACAAAACCATATAATTACTGTAGCGGTACATAAATGTACAGTAGATATGATATCATTATAATCATCTGGATGAGTCTGGATAAATTACCATGATGGGGGTATGATGATATAATGATTATAATTAGATATGATATATCTGGATAAGTAGTAGATATGATACCATATAATTACATTAATATACAGTAATTTCATTATTATACCATATACTGTACCGGTAAATAGATATGATATATGTGGATGAATCATTACAATTAATCATTATATCCCCATCATATCCCAGGGATGCTTCCCCTATCATCACATTTTTTTATCATCCTGGAGTAGATAGAATGTGGAAATGTCACAGAATCATCACTAAAACGGGACTATCTTTAGAAATCTTTAGAATGATTATATATATATATATATATACACATGTATGTATATGTATATCTACTTCAGGATGATTATGCATATATATATATATATAAATGTATATATTGGTATTACCCCAACACAACTCCCATTTCCAAGTTGTGCCGTTGTGCCCCCCAGTGCGCCAAGACTTGGCTTTGGCATGGGACCAACAGCTGCCATGGACGCAGCAGATCTTAGATTGCCAGGTGCCCGTGAAACCTGGGGATCTCATGGATGGAAGAAATCCTGCACCAGTTGATAGGTGGTTCATCCCACTATTTATATCTATTTATAGGGTTTCAACCATGCAAGGTGGTGCAGGATTTCGCAACCATCCACAGTATTTCTATGGATACTTTTATAGTAACAACATGGGGATTGATATATTCAATGGATATCGATACCGGATTTTCGATGGATTGGTACTATTTTCACATGGAACATTACAATGGATCCGGATCCGGATTGGTTTTCAAACACAACATTTGATGTATTCAATGCATTATCGGATTGGTTTGAAATCGATACCGGATTTTCGATGGATTTTCCAATGCAATTTCTGGGCGGTTCCTGTCGATTGTCCCGAAAAAAAAAAACAATCCGTTGGCATGAGGATATCACGAGGATATCATAGTGCCGGGCCTCACCGGGGCGCAAGATTCGGAAAAATGTAGGGACCATAAGAAAAGAATGGCCTACTCTTATGTGCTATGTAGTTAGTTAACTATATAGTTAGTAAATGGATTAAGAATATGGTTTAATTATTTGGGACTTGTTGTGGGTTATAACCCACAAAAATGGGATTTGCTAATCACATGGCCCATCTAAGTATAGGAAAGCCTTTGGACACAACGCATCGAAGGAGTTGTTCGAGGGATGGATGAGATGAAATGAATGGCTGAATGGGAATGACATCAACGAAGCAAGACATCAGTGAATGTTCTCATTAATGAATGCATGGATGACATGGAAGAGTCAAGGCACAAATGAATGAATGCAGGAAGGAAGGAAGGAATGATTCAATCAGTGGATCAATGAACAAATATATTGAGTGAATAAGTGGATTAGTGGATGCGTGGATGAACGAAAAAACAACTACATGAATTTTTCAAATGAATCTCTTCCACGGAGAGCGGCTACAATGCATTCAGCAACATCCTGCAATCCAACTACCGCTGCCACCTCTTTCGTTGACATAAAGATGTGAGGAGCCTCAATGAGCATTTCTCTACGTAACTTTGGGAAGTTTGCTAAGTAAACCTGCAACAAAGCCTTCTTTGATGCACGGATATATATATATGTATGATATCATGCATTTAATGTAATTGACAAGGTGATATTTGGGTATGGGTTAAGTCAGATGTCATAAGCGTCATAATCGTCCAGTTAAGGACCCATAAACGGCTCGACTCATCTTTAGGAGCTTCGTCCATCCATTGAGGGGTTTTCTACTCTCCGGTAGTCTAACAATGGAAAATTACCTAATAGGTAAATCATCTACAAATGGGCCATGTTCCATAGCCATGTTAGATTGGTATGGTAGTTTTGACCCCTGGTCAGTTGGAGGGTACTGTACATCATTCCATTCTCATGGCGGAAAACAACAGATGTTCGAAACCATACCGGTCATAGCTGGACATTTTGCCCCATGTACTTTCCAGTAATCAAATATGGTTGGAGAGAAAATCCACCATTTGAACCTTGAAAGTCATAGCTGGACATGTTGCCGGTCATTATCTCTCCATTTGAAAGGAATGATAATCCCAACATTTCCCTGGTTGGTGGTTTGGAACATTTTTATGAATTTCCATTCAGTTGGGAATGTCATCATCCCAACTGACGAACTCCATCATTTTTCAGAGGGGTAGGTTGAAACCACCAACCAGTTTCCCATAGCCTTCGCCAGGTTCTCTTCCAAGAGTCCTTGTTGCAGCACGGCCGCACGCATCGCGCATGGGAACTTCAGCGAAGCGAAGGCGCCAATGGCTTCAGCGAAGGCGCGATCGCCACGGTCAAGCTGTAGCTGGTTAGGCTGTAACTTTCCTTAGATAGGCCGTGGATCAATGCATATATTAATATATAATATATATATATAATATGAATTTTAGATAATGATTAATGGCATATCTAATATCAAAGTTAGATGATATATGGCTATGGATCAATACCTATACCCTCTTTAGGGGGATGATCATTCACCACTTATTTTGATGTTCACCGGAACTCCACCCATCGAGTTGTGCAACATGATATATGCCATATGGGTACGGGTCAGAATTGGGTACCCCCAACAAAAAAAGATGCTGAAAAAATGAAACATGAATACTAAAATCTGTGGTCTCATAGAGTTTAATCAGTTTAATCTTTGACCCATACTCATATACATATACAGTATATGTATATATATATATACAGTATATATACAGTATATATACAGTATATATACAGTATAATATGGGATAACTTAGGATCACCAGGGTTACCAGTGAGGATCCCTGGTTCCTGGGATGATTTTTTTGTGGATTCCCAAGATCCAATGATCCCACAGTGGGCTACCGCGTGCTGTGGGTGGGCTACCGAAAGGGGCCATACGAATGCTTGAGTTTCGTATGAAACATGGATTTATTTGGACTCACCATTGTGGCCCATCCTATATCTATACATATATCGATAGCTTTTGTGCTGAAAAAAAGGTATCTTTTCATCCAAAGCTATGCCTATCAGGGGTTGAATATGTCGATTTCATTGGATTTCGTTGTCTGAAATGATAGCTTTGGCCAAAATGAAGAACCAGTAGATATTCACCATCATTAATCATCATTAACCATCGTTAAATCACCATTAATCACCAATAAATCACTAACAGTTGGTGCTACTTCAAGGAACTTAACCCGACATTCCCTTCAAGCTCGGATCTTAAAGGTTTTTTGGATATTGCATATGTATACCCTCTGGTAATTTAACATAACTATGGAAAGATCCACCATTTTTAATGGGAAAATTCATTATAAATGGTGATTTTCCATAATTATGTTAAATTACCAGAGGGTATATATAATACATATGTATAATATACTGTATAGATTGCCATAGAATCCCATGCACTTCTACACGAATGTCGTGTCCAGCGCCAACGAGATCGCCTTCAGGTGACCTGGGAAGCTGTGTTGAGACGTTTCTCTCCACAGCACGAGGCAGTGATGTGTGCCACGGTCCTCGAGAGCTGGAACGCAACCTCTTTTGCCCCGAGCCGCTGGGAAGTTCGGCGCTTGAACATTCCGAACACTTACACAACACGGAATATATATATATATGTGGGAATGTCAAGGAATACCAGAACAGCAAGCAATATACATACGAATTGACAAAAAAGGGTATGTGTGTATATTTACACATAGATACTGTATCATATATATATATATACGTATATATATATGTATATATACTGTATCTAAAGAATGTTCTGTTGTTTATGTATGTAGATATATGCGGCACATGGATACGACAAAAGGGAATTAACGACTTATGATCTAAGAGATTCCGAAGTTTGACCCCAAAGTGATGAGTGTTCCAAGTCAATGGCTAGAACTGTTTTCCATCACTCAATAAGTTGGGACAATATTAGGGCCCCCAATGATTATGGTTTTATAAGTTACATATATATATATATGGGTAAATTATAACGACCTCACTGTTCTCCCTCACTGGAATAATGGTTAGTATTGGAAATCATCCCCAAATGGCCGAACTATTCAGGTTAGTGAATTATTATAATTTACCCAGATATATATATATATACAGCACATTACAGTACAATACAATGTATATATATATATATATTATATTATATATATATGTATCTATAATATGAATTATTTTGAATTCTCAGTTTAATCCATTTTTGGTAGTTCAGTCATACTTGTAATAATCCAATTTTGAATTGCTCATATACATTAATATACCCATTTGTAACCTCAAGTGCCCCCCTACTTGGATTTTTCGTTTCCCAGGTCTCAGCATCGCGTCTCTGTGGAGGAGCTCATGTCGTCCACGGAGCGACTGCTACGGAAACTCCTGTGCCCCGAATTCAATGGACATCTCAGGGGAGTACATGGAAAATCGCAGGCAAGGGTGGAAAAATGGCAAGGACATATATGTATATATGGATCAATAGCTATTTTCATACCATTTTGAGTGGGATGAACATCCATGAATCCCAGCTATTTTGATGTGAACAGAAGGGGTACTATTGGTTTTGACACACTGCCATATGTATATATATATATATATATACATTGGGGTATATATAAACACTCATACAACCATATACTATAACCAAATATAACCAATAAACATGTGGGGCATAGGTTTTGGCGCGGCAAAACTTTGGGGTGTGTAAAACTTTTGAGAGAGATTTGTCCATTTTATAAGGACAGTACAGTAGTTCTTTCCGACTGGGTACTCGATAATAGTGAACTCACCCCGCCCGATCCAAAATCTTGCGTTTAGTTGGGGAGGACTTCCCGGGAAAGTCGCCCCAACATGCGTTTACTTGCTGTGGATCAGTTGCGTAAGATAGAAAACGATGCTTTAGAAGTAAAGTTTGCTTCATTTAGCTTGTGTTTACACTGGTGAAGAAGTTGGGGTGACTTTTCCTAGCAGTTGGGGACGTAGTTCCATGCGGGAATGACACTTGACTGCAACGTTGGGGGACCTTCGATGGCATTGAGTAACTCTTTCTCTTTTAAGTTTAAAGGGGTGTATGGTTGGAGTACATACCCCAACATTTCCACGGGGTTTGTGCCATCTTGTGCCATGTTGTGCCCGTTGGTCCCTGGCTGCAGACACTGAACGAAGGTACTGGCAGTCTGTGTCCAAGATACGTCAGGCGTGCCATGGTTTCGAGTGTTCCCATCAGTCAATACATTTCCTTCAATCTTCATAGCTGTATATCATGTATGCATCGAGTCATATGGTTTTTAAGTATAGTATGGACACTGGAAATAGGATGGAGTTTATGGATATGTATCTGTAAGATCTGCAAGTGCTATGTGTGTGTATACATGTACAGGAATACATGCTTTTATGTCAAATGTGCATACTAACGTATACATATCAAGCATACCCATGTTATGGGCCTGACAGATACCCTTATTGACTGCTATATTCTGGAGTCTATCTCCGCCTAAAGAATGACTGTTTTGATGAAGAGTGCGATGTGGCACAAATCGCATGGGTGCATGTACGGATGTGTCATGAACAGAAGAAAACTTCACCTCTGTAGAGTTTCTAATTATCCTGCTTAGTGATTTGATTAAGAAGTGCCTTCCTACCCTGGTTATCCCATCCATAAAATGGGTTACAAGTATAGTCTCTAACCAGCTACAAGGAGTGTGGGATGATCCTCCCTCCAGAGATTTTGGCCAGGCTACCTTTTCACCATGGTCTCTGTCGCCAGTGCTGAGTCTTGGAACCCCGGCAGTTCTGCTTTTGACAGCTGTTTGCTTCGCCCGCCGAAAAGGGCTGCGATGTGCTGAGCAAAATGGCCTTGTGCAAGATGTGGGTTGCGGGGACAGTAGAGTATGCAGTGGCTGCTAAAACCCTGTTGGTTGATGATTAGTTCGGGGATTGTACTACCCTTAAGCTTTATATCTTGGAGATTATCATAATCCATGAACCGGAAATCCCTATCTTAACCAGGCAGATGATTATGATTTATGTTTTGTGCAAAGTTCAATTCGACATGGTTTAACTGGTGATCCCCATATCACCATAACATTCCCATCCCAGACATTTTTTTGCTATTTAAGGATGTGTCTGAGTCTGTAGTCATTTTCCCAACACTCAAATGGTAATCCATCAGGCCGCCGGATCTCTTTATTATATAAGCCTTAGTATAACCCATACCCTCTGGTAAACTAACATAGCTATTGAACATGGCCATTTATAGTGAGTTTTCCCATTAAAAATGGTGATTTTCCATAGTTATGTTAGTTTACCAGAGGGTATGCGAACCATGGTGCTGGTATATAAAAAACCGACATAACTGGGTGATTTTGTTCGAGTGTTGGCAAATATTCCAAAAACCATGGTTCGCATATGGGTCAGGCTTATAATGTCCCTAGTAATCCCTATCAATTGTTCCTACCTGGAGGACCAATATCCAATCAATATTCCATAGATATCCCACGAATATCCCAGCGAATCCAGTTAAAAGCCAATTCATTTCCTCATATATGCCATTGTATCCTATTGTATCCTATTGAATCCCCCTCAATCCCACCAAAGTCCCATGAATATCCCAAATATCCATAAAATAATCACACATATCCATATCGTCCCATTAAATCTCATGATTTTTTGTCATCTTTGGATTCTAGGCCATGGCCGTGGGAGCCCTCCTAGAAATCTTCGAGTTCCCACCCCGCGCGGTGTCCCAATTTCTGCCGCACTGTGGATTTACAGCTTATGGCCATATCCGCCAGCTTTGGGGGATTCCATATTAAATCTAGAGGGTGTATATAGTCATATGGTGTAGCACCCATGAAATGATGGAATTGATATTGCAAAAGTGACTTTATTTTAGCCACACACATTGGTAAAATCTCCACATGTCAGCTGGAACACATTCATCCAACAGAAATCATCATTCACAACTCGTGTGAAGCTTCATCCAACAGAAATGTTTTTCTCTTTTTTTTAAACCTATACACCCACACCTGTTGAAGTCGCTCCGTCATCAAAGTGGCTCCCTTTCGCACGCGGTTTCCAGGCCATCCATCCCTGAACGCACCCGGCCCCGAGCAGCTGGAGGCCCGAGGAAATCCGGATGTCACTAGACGGTTCGAAGAATTCCATAGGGGATTTCAACCCCGAAAAATGTCTGGTTGGTGGTTTGGAACATTTTTTATTTTTCCATAGATCGGGAATGTCATCATCCCAACTGACTATATTTCAGAAACCACCAACCAGATGTATGTTTAGGGGATTTGGCACATGTGATGAACATATGATGAAATTTCACTTGCAAACTATATAAGTACGGGTGTATAGTATATTTGCCCATTTTGAAACATTGGAAGATCGCCATCAAACAGTAAGACATCACTGACTACTGTGTATGACTTTCTGAAGGTCAATCGCAGCATCCTGAGAGCTGGTAAAAGGCTCAAGAGAAGCTATGGAATGTCCAAAACGGTGATCTGATTATTTATTCATAAAATTAAACATATTAAACCACATGGAGAGTGAATATGGTGTTTTGTGAATGTTATTATATCATATGATATTCCCATCATATCCCGGTAGTCCTTGTTTAATCACCATTTTGTTGGTTAAATCGCTTAGGCTATGACTGTTTGTGAAAAATCACCATCTTAGCTGGTTAAAAAAAAACATGTTTGCTGCGTGTTCAAACTTACACACTAATGATTTATGTCAGTTTTTAGGTGAAAACATGTTTGTTGGTTCCAAAAAAAACCACGTTTTAGTCACCACCCAGCGCAGTCGACGCTCCTCGCCGCCGGAACGAACGTCGACGGCAAAATGTTCGACGAGTGCCGTGGCACCGTGGCGCGGGCTGGTGAGGTGGTTGTCCCTTAAGATGAGGCAACAATTGGAATTTGTGGTTGACTCTTCTCTATATATCATATATTAATATATATGTGTATATAATTATATATATATTAATTAATATATATGTGTATTATTGTATATTGATTCATGTACAGTATAATTTTAATCAATTTTAATTGTTCTATACATTGTAAATCATGTGGTTTCTAGGTATATCATGTTTCTTCCAACGGGGCTTCTCTCGATGGCGCGCTTCGCGGCCCGAGGCCGTTTCTCGCTCCCGACGGAGAGCTCCCCGCTATGGTCGGCCGGGCAAGGCGCAGGGAGGTCTTAGAAAATCCATGGGGAAATCCATGGGAAATCCCTTCTAAAATTTCTAAAATCCACTCTACTGTAATTATAGTTTTTCATAGCAAAATCATATAAAATCATCGGTAAGTAAGGGGATTTTCCAGCCATGTGCCACAAAACATTGTTTTTGATTCCTGGGGATCTGCCACTGCGTTGATGGTATAACCTTTTGGCCACTGCGTAGTCATATGTCAATACTACAGAATGGGATTGGGTCCCTAGTATAGACGCTTGCGTGCAAATCGTTCTTTTTCAACCAAACAAATTGGGACTACTGAGATGTTGACCTGTTTTGGAAATCCATATCAGAACTTTTTGCAGATGTGTTGGCAAGAAAGGGAGCCTGGGATTGTGGGGGAGCTGTGTATTTTGAAGCCAATATAGTCGCAGCATTGCACCGGATGGGTCAATTGGTCAATTTTTTCCCTATGAATATCACAACTTTACATCACACAATTTTGGGTTCATCACAGATAAAGGATTCGATTCCACTGGACACTTCAACCTGTGGAGATTGATTCCACTCAATTTTAACATCATTGGTACCTTTTTGAAGCTTGGAATCTTTCATGAAACCTGCCCACCAGGCGGAATTGAAGCGTTCGGAGCGTGACTTCAGGTGCCAATCTGGGGCAAAACTGAGTGCTGCTACGGTAAAGATGTCTTACGCTACATCAATGGGTTTTGTGGCAATAACGTCCATGTCCATTTCTACACACATCTGATGCTACGGTAGGCCGGTAGGGATGCCGGCTAGGCTCTGGATGCTACGCTCTCAAACTTCTTCAGTATCTTCAGCATTCTTCGGTCCCGTTCGATGGGGTTTTTCGGCTCTTCCGGTGACCAAGGATAGTTTGACCTTTCATATCCTGAGTCAAAAACAGAGAGTTTTTTGAGTGGGATCCCCTAGACGCATCAAGCCAATGGAATTATTGTTTCATGACAAATATAGTAATTTACAGGCGAACATGACACATGGAATAAAGCATAAGTTCACAAAACCACGAGGGTGCACATTTGTAAGAATTATGTGTCAAAAAACAGTTCCAAACAGCAAGGCCATTTTCTGCGGCGTGACCTAGTTTTTCTTTTTGGGTGGTGGTGAAGTCAATCAACGAAGCGCACACACCTGGATCTTCCCAAGAGGTGGTATGAGCTTAAATGGATTTAAATGGATTCGGATTGGCAGGGTTGTCTTTTCAAATGATTGTGTATATTAGAACAACATAATGTAGTATATAATACATATAGTATATATATATAGTATATTTTCTGATGTATATGTATGGATATATATACATATATATATATGCACAGCATCTTTCAACCACAAAAAATCACAGGCGTTTTGTGTCCAGGCCTCGGCCTCAACGGCGGCGTCGGGATGAAGGCTGTGAAGGCTGGAAGGGATCAAGGACCAAGAAAAAAGGGATGGATTTTGAATATAAACAAATGGAACTATTTGTTTATATATATATAGACCAACATATATATAGATCAACATATATATATATATAATATATGTATAATATATATATATATATATATGTATATTATGTATATATATATATATGTATGGAAAAAGCATATACTATATGATATATTGATCGATTAACAAAAAACTCCTGATTTTTTCGGGATTTCGGCATGACTGAAAATGGTCCATACATTGGTGAAGTAGTGTAAAAAGAATGCTAAAAAGGTAAAGGGTGGGAAACATCGCAGATCGTTTTTCTTTTTCAAGGGTTGACAGTGAGAAAGTGGTTTGTTGTGCCATTCTGCTGGCGTTGGATTTACTGCTTAAGTATTTTGTGCAGAGTCACGAGGAGCACGGATGATGTAGAGATACATGTTCACGATGATTTGACTGCATTTTTCTTTAATGAACCAATATGTCAAGGGACTACCATGATGTTTGAGTTTGCCAGGGGAGGTCTTTCATGAAATAGGCAGGGTTGACATACGCCGCATGCATGTTATCACTTCTCTGCACATGTTTAGCAGGTGATAGTTTGCAATCTGTGCCCATCCTCGCTACACTTGGGTGATTTGCGGAATGACTTTTGGGAGCATCCAGGTGCAAATAGTACTTTCAAACAGATATCCCCAGCCTATTTTGGTCTTCTTTTTTGGGGACGGGTGGTTCAATCATCAATGGTCGAAGGACTTCGCCAAGTAAGCTGGCCCACCATTTTTTACTACGTGACATGAGCGGCCGATCTTCCGTGAGTTGCAGCTTTACTTGGATATATTTGGGTAAATTATAACTACTTCACTGCGACCTCACTGGAATCATGGTGAATAAGGGAAATCATCCCCAAATGGCCTTAATTCAGGTTAGCAAAATAGGATAATTTACCCAGATATATAGCCATATAGCCATAGTTATAAAGGTGATATTCCAACTTATAGGGTGATTAGCGAATGTATTTACGCAAACGCGCTATGAACCATTGTTAATCCCAAATATGAATGTGGCAAGCTCAAAAATAGACCGTCCCATACCATCCCTATCAGCACCAATGGGTGGTAACCTTCATCTCCATATGGTAGGAGGTATGGCATTGAGTTTACGCTTTACCACATTAGCCATTGGCTATATGATATCTTGTAGGGATAATTACCGTGGGTGATACCCCCACGAAAAAAAAAAAACATGATGAATCACTATAAAACCCTATGAACCATTACTATAAGCCAGATTAATCCAGTTCTGTATTTTTAGTCGGACACATCCCTTTTTTAAGCTGTCCATCTGCTCGCTGGTCTCAGGTCGCTTGGAGGGTCGTCGGGGTGAGCGGCAGAGGCGGCACTCTTCCCCACCTTGCCCAGCAAATCCGGGCAGCAATCATATCTGGTTGGTGGTTTGGAACAGCTGTGAGGCCCAAACTTGCCAGTGTAGTGCAGCTGCTCTAACCAATTGGGCTGACTGTTTCACTTGTTTCGTGCCATGCCTAGGCTCTACCCCATGGATTTCGGTTTGGTCGACAATGGTTCTGCAATAGACCTGGTCTGTAAAATGGTGATTTTCGATCACGCGCATGAAGCACACCTTATGATGACATTGCATGACCATAAGCTGTTTCACTTTGAAGGATTACTGAATGAGGGGCCTGAGACTTACACAGTCTTCAACGCATGCCTGGTCCAACAGTATCCTATGCCTTTTATGAATTTCCATTCAGTTGGGAATAATACTCCCAACTGACTTTCATATTTTTCAGAGGGGTAGGTATACCACCAACCAGATATTATATCATATTATATCATATTGCTAACTACATGTTTGATCGTATTCTGTCCACACACGCGCATATTATTGAGTCTTATTGTGTAATTATTACTTTTACTTGTATTACACTACAATTACTAAATATTATTCTTCCATGTGTATCAATAAATATACGTATATATATATATATATGGATCCATGGAATATGCGCATATATGGATATACGTTTTTGTGTATATATATATATGTATTTATATATACATCGATATATGGCATATTTACCCAGGCAACTAGCTGATCTAACTGGGGATTTTCCAGTTTGGAATCGCGCCAGGCCGGGTGCAGAGCGCCCAGAGGCGCTTTCTGCAGAAATGTGACCCGCGGGGAAACGACTGGGAAGGAAAATTGGGGTTAACCTTGAAAAATGTTGCTTTGATAGGGACATGATGATATGAATGGAATATTTCTGTGGTTTTTTGGATTGGAATATTGGTGAATCGCCTCTGGTTAGCATTGCCATGGTTTGCAAATGTTTTCTTGCAGACGCTGGGATAGAAAATCACCCGCCAAATGAGTAGTAATCGCTCAAATAGTAAGTCTTGAACAGATGTCATGTAGGACTCAATACTTGGGGGTGCAATTCCAGTTTTAAGTGGATATATAACCATAGGTTCTATCCCCACTTGTGCAGGTTACATGGTTGTACGAATCTATACTTCCAACTACACCCCCCGAGTAGAAGCAGCTTTCAACATGCCTAAGACGCCCCTTTCGTCCGTCGCGTGTCACAGGCTCGCGCGGAAGATTTGGTCGAGTGTTCTGTGCCCGGATGCCCGGTTTTGCACAGCTGTTGAGTTCTGGCTCATGTTCATATGCCATCCATCTATTGACAATAGATGGATGGCATATGAATCTATTGATATCTATTTATTGTATATAGTCAACTATAGTTGTATGGCCTACATTTATATACTGCCAAATGTTCCAAATGCATGCAATGCCTGGTTGGATAGGGATGTTATTATCTTGGTTTTTGCGAAAGGAGCATCGCCATCTTTCAAAGCTATTCTGGACCATCGCAACAAACAATTGCAACTTACGCATAAGATACTAAAACCACTTAGAACTACCAAACCATTCCATTAACCTTGGGAATCATTTTACATCATCCCAAACAGAGGTATACACAACAATAAACCATCCCCAACAGAGGTTTATTGTTGGGTTTATCACATGAGTCTCAATTAATCCCAACAATGTGGCGCTTCCCAGTTGTAAATTGGTTTCTAAGCCAGTTAACTTTAGTCATAATTATCATAAGTATCATCAACCATACGTATATTGGAGTTATATTCACCAACATAGCTAACTATGGCCCACATTGAATATATATATATATACATATGTATATCTATATATATGTATTTATATTTATATTGATATAATATATATATATACCCCAATACAGCAAGAAAATCGCCCTTGAACATCCCTTGGTACCATCAATCGCCCGCAGGCATGGCAAGAAGCGGAGCTGGGACAAGATCGAAGTCACTGCCGAGAAGAAATGGGTGCGGCGCGTGGCGTTTGTTTTTTGTTTTGTTTTCTGGATAGCCGGATACGGCGGATGAGGCAGATCAACCTTGTGCTTCCATATACCCTCTGGTAATTTAACATAGCTATTGAAAATGACCATTTATAGTGGATTTTCCCATTAAAAACGGTGATTTTCAATAGCTATGTTAAATTACCAGAGGGTAGATTGATTTCGTTCGGAAAATGGAAACCAAAAATCCTTTTTTTTTTTCGTGGATTTCCAACATCCAAGTCTAGAGGAAGGTCGAAGATTTTTTTGGACATGGCCATTTCACAGGGAGAATGATGATGAACATGGAGATAAACTTTATGGTATGTTGGGTATGGCCTATTTTGACCCAAAACCATGGTAAAATTCTTTGATGTTTATTCAGATTAGATTATTCCAAGCTTCATGTTTTTTCAGATTATTCCACGGCGTGATTTGGGGTCAGCTTGGAGATTCGGTCCCTCTTGGAATGTTTCTTCCGCAGCAATAGCAGCCTGACTTGAGTCCCGATCTACAATTCTAGAATATATATATATATACATATGTATATATATATACAGATATACATGACCTGAAAACCCCCGGTGAATGATGGTAAACATGGGCTCTTGCCGTGAATGGGCATGTATGATCATGTATGATTTTTTGCGTCTAGGTCCATCCATGTCCATCCATTGGGGGGACAATTTTCAGATCTGAACTTGTGGATACTTTTGGGTGAACCTGTGACAATTTTTGCTGTTCGGATGTCTTAGAATCTAACATGTAACCGGGTGAATTCAACAGATTCGAAGATTTTTTACTACGTCAAGTAACTTCGATGTATCAATGTGTTCCACAATGTTCCATCTCAAGATACTCAAGATGCCCCGCAGCGAACGTGAAATAATTGGAGATGATTGGCTACAGTTCTGGGTATATTACAACTATTATAACTTATAACGACTTCACTGTTCTCCCTCACTGTAATAGTGGTTAGAAATTTGTTGGGCTTGTTTATCCCAACAACCTTATTTCAGGTTTGTGACTAAAATTTACCCAGGTTTTTGTGGGTCAAAAGCCTGGTACACTACCCTAAAATGCTTGGTTGATGGATGTTTTTTTGGATGTCGATTCCCCCAGCGATTTTTCGCCAAGCCAGGTCTGTGTCGCCTCGTGCCCGTGTGTGGTGCACCTTGGGGGCACAAAGGGCTGGTGTCACTTTCTCCGAGACGCTTTGAGAAGCCTGCGGGCCCTGGACATGGGGCACCTGGCTGGGGGGCTGTTTTTTTTTTTCGTTGATTTCAGGGTAACACTGAAAGTTGGGGATGTTTTGAGGTGGCGGCGCCCCTGGCGGGGGGCGGGACTGTTGTCACTGTTTTGCAAATGCTGTGTTTTTTTTGGGGGTGTTTCGGGTCGGGGGGTTGGAGGGGTGCAATAACGTTCTTTCGTCTGCGTTTCAAAGACGTTGCATACTACGTCACTACGTTGGAAAATCTTCTTCAAGTAACTTCCAAGACACTCTTGATACGTCGTAACATCTTCTTCAACTATCTTCATCTAACTTCCAAGACGCTCTTGATACGTCGTAACATCTTCAAGTAACTTCCAAGACACTCTTGATACGTCGTAACAGCTTGTTCAAGTAACTTCCAAGACGCTCTTGGTATTCGTTAACAGCTTCTTCAAGTAACTTCCAAGACGCTCTTGATACGTCGTAACATCTTCAAGTAACTTCCAAGACACTCTTGATACGTCGTAACAGCTTGTTCAAGTAACTTCCAAGACGCTCTTGGTACTTCGTACAGTAACAGCTTCTTCAAGTAACTTCCAAGACGCTCTTGATACGTCGTAACATCGTCTTCCTTGACCGAACCTGGGATCATATGAAGTCATACATCCCACGTAGTCTTTCTCGCAGGAAATTAAATGTACACGAAACTAACAACAGCTGCGCTGATGAGACACTGCCTAATATGGCAATGGTTGCATGCAGTCTTGGCTCCTGGCTGCTCCCTATGGGATTAGTTGGCCAAGCTTTGTAAAAAACACAGCAACAAAGTTGGACTGGGGCGTCTCGCATGATGATGAAAAAAGGCTGTCGAATCATCACTTTGAAAAGCGCTGAAAGCGCCCCACCTCCACAGGCGCTGTAACAATGTTTTATATAGTTGATGTTATGTCGTAAGTGAATTGATTTGTCAGGCTTTTGTCAGGTATTGCAAATTTAGTTTTTTCAGTGCATGGAGCGCATAGTGAGACGGATATCATGGGTATTTAGCATTGAATTCCGAGTGGATATAGCCATGTTAGGCCTTAGGCTGTTGGGGTTGCATGTTGAATTTAGAGGCTGTACAGGTGTCAACCTCCCTGCTTTAATTATTTTTTATTTTTATAATTGTTATCATAAGCTAATTGATTACTCTAATGAACAATGTTAGTTCAACATTTAGTTCTTAATGAAAATGCTCTCAAGTACTATATAATCCCCCAGCCAGTTTCCCCTATAGAATTGGGACACCTAGGTGCTGTATAAAACGATTTTTTAATACAGGTCCCCCCTCAATTTCAGCTGCCCTGTTTGCCTTGTTTTGGCAGGCTCTATATATACACATATTTCTCTATATTTATCTCTATTTATCTATATTTATCTATATTTACTACAAGTAAATCTTGCACTTCATGGCGTCGCCGCATCATGGCCGAGGCCGTGGTGAGGATGAACTGCTGGAGGCTGTGGAGGTGCTCTTCAGCCAATCGAGATCTTCACGTGGAATCCCAGCAGCCTAAAGTGGATTACTATTACCCTCTGGTCATTTAACATAGCCATGGTATAGATGGCTCATTTATAGATGATTTTCCCATTAAAACCTCCATTTATAAGGGATTTTCCATTTACCATTTCTGGTAAACTATTGAAAATGGCCATTAATAGTGGATTTTCCCATGAAATATGGTGATTTTCCATAGCAAAATGTTAGTTTACCAGAGGGTATATGGATGATAAGGGACGATCCAGTGTCCATGGAAATTTTATATTAATCCACTTAAATTTTTATATGGATGATCTATAAAAAAACATATGGATCATATTACTATTAATTTTATATAATTAATGGATGATTTTTATTATTCTGGATTAATAGTGAATTAATTAGATGGATAATCCAGTGTCCATGATAATAGCCGACTATTTGATGGATCTATTAAATGGATTGATTTACAGTATATTTACCCATTATGAATCCATCTAATTCCTGATGATTATCTATTAGTCTTACTATCATCCATTTTATCCATCTATTAGTCTTATTATTGGTTAATAATTAATTATTCCTCAGTAATTATCAGTATTTTTAATCATTTCTTTTAAATTATTGATGACTATTCAGTATGGATTATATGATTTCTTAATTATATATATATACACCATGTATGTTTATTATGTGGCACGCTGTCTTTGATAGTTGCACTTCGTCCCCTTTTTTTTCTCGGAGGAGATCCATCCTTTCGAAGCCAAGTGTTGGATGTCAGCAGATTCTCGCTACACAAATCATTACGGATTCAGAGGCCAAGTGAATAAAACAATGATCCCTTTTGAAATTGTGTTTGATGGACATATGTGCCATATGTGCCATATGTATCCATAGGTGCCATGGCCAAAAATTCAGAAAAATTCTCCATCTTGGGCGATCAATCCATTTCCATAAGGATTTTTTCAAAGCCCGTTCTGCGTGTATTCCCGCAGCATGACGATGCCCCATATTGACCCCATGATATCCCATGAAACTTGACCATGGCGCCCGGAGTACATTCTTATTAGTACCATCTATTATATATCCTATGACAATTATACCTCAGTTTTGTGGAATTTAAATCATATATTGTATATATATATACATACACATATATATATGTATATGCATATTATAATGTCATTATATGTTATATATATATATTATTGAAATACCTCATTCACATTCCATTTTATGGGGGCATCTAAAGAATCATCGACTCCCTGCAGGCCCTGGCTGCGAGTGACGAAGCACAAACGACTTCGGGGCACGGAGCTGCACAAGGTCGGTCCGGTCGGGAAGTCGGATGACCACAGATGAGTGGGGCATAGCCCAAACTATATATATATATATTTATACAAGGTGGTGCCGCCAAGATAGCTAAATTGGTTTATATCTCCAATAACTATGGTTTATAGGTGATATACCTGTAGTTAAGGGGCTTATAAATTATAACGACCTCACTGCTGTGACCTCACTGGAATCATGGTTAGTAAGGGGAATAATCCCACTATGCCTTATTTGAGGTTAGTGAATTACTATAATTTACCCAGTATAATATATATATATGGGTCAAAAGCCTGGTACACTACCCTAAAATGGTTGGTTAATGGATGTAAATGGATGTTTATTCCCCCAACTATGGTGTTATAATAGGTTTTGACGTATCCCCATAAATCCCCATATATATATAGACATCTAAATGACATGGATGTGGTTACATGATAATAAAACATCTTCGAAACACATGAAAAAACCTCAACATATAGACAAATCTAGTAAAATATAGACTTGAATAATCTTGAATATCTTAAATGATGATGGTGAGACAAAAATCAGTTAACATATAGATAAGATATAATCAAAATTTTAATTATTTAGATGGAATAAGATTAATTCCATTATTATGGATAATATATAATCATACAAGTGAATATCTTATGCATTTAAGATACTTATAGATAACACTTGAATAATATAACTTGTAGTTCGGTGATCAGTTAGATGATCACCTCGTGTGGCGCTCCAGAAGCTCCCTCTGCGCCGGAGATGTCCAGCAATTTGGAGGCGCAGCCGGAGATGTGGTACAGCTAAATCCAGGATAGAAACTGGAACCTATCAACTCATATATATATATATAATCAATTATGGATATATATATATAATTAATTATGGACACACCTATATATATATGATATGTATGGAGTACCACTGGAGTACCCATATATCAACTCATAGGAGTACATCGCAAGATAGCAACAAGAACGACTCGAAACGATTCAATTTGTCAATATCTGTTGCTACGAAGTCATGTTGAGAAATCTTCTTTGGGTGCTAAGAAACCACAGATTGGGAACATCAGCCATACAAAAAGCAATCTTCGTAACATTTGGAAATCTAACCGATATAGCATAGCAACAATCCTGTGTTCATCCCTTAGTCAGCTGCATGGTGAAGCTGAGATCTTTACCCCAGCGGGGATAAAGATATGAGGATGCCAATCAACCAACACATGGATAGTTGGGAGGAAACCAATGTATAAAGACTGGGGAAGCTATCCAACGAAGAAAGGTTGTTTGTATCAGTTTCCCAGAAATTTGAGTTTTGAACTTGTCACTGTCACTCTGCGTTGGAAAAACAAACACAGCCGCCTTCATGCGTGAGCTAGCATCTAGATATATCTAGAGATTATATATGATCTAATTTATCTTTACTAATGTGTGGTGCTTGTGTAACACAAAACCCGGGTGGCTGACGATATTTGGGCGTATAGCTTTTCGCATGGGCACGCTCCAGTCGCAATTGGCCACGCCTGTATGTAGCCTCAGAATTGTTGGGAGCGCCCGGGCATGCATCATTGAACATCTCCGAAACAGTCAGTCACATTAAGAACCTGATGTTCGAAACGGGTTTTTCATGTTGCGAGACTTTCATTTGTACTCAGATACACCCTTGAGGAAATTCAACATGAAATCCCCCCCAAAATGGATGATGGACATTTTCCCACGGAAACCAAAACATGGACAGAAGTCAACGGTTGTCGTAGGGATCAGTTTCCGGTCGTATCAAATGATTAGTTCTGGCGAGACCACTTCTTATTTCTGCTTTAGGCTTTCAATTGTGCATTGTAACAACATTTGTTCACCTACATGTTCCAAAACCATACATTTTTTTCCTACATCATACCCTTCGATAATTTAACAATATTTAACATAGCTATGGGAAATGGCCTGTGTAGTTCCATGATTTACCTCTTGAGAATTGTTGTTTTCCAGTTCGCAAAGCGTGAAATTGCCTGAGGGAAGTAGTTGCAAACCCAGTAACTCACATCATCAATATTGTTGGCTAAACCAATTTAAACCATATTAAATCCCATTAAGATTCCATTAATTCCCATTAAGTCCCATCAAAATTTCATTTAAATCACCGTTAAATCCCATTATATCCCATTCATATCCAAATTAAATACCATAAACATCCCACTAAGATTCCCATGAACATCTCCCTACAAATAATCTGAAAGCTCGATCCTCGGACCTCACGCCGTAGGCGGTGCTTCCAGCCTCTCCGCTGCTGGAGGGAGAGATCGATCCCGACGATTTGTGACGCCTGGGAGCTCATCGGGTGCATAAAACGTGGCTGAACATCACCATTTTTCATGGGAAAATCAGCATTTTTCATGGGAAACACCGTGGTATTTCCCCGCCAGAATTTTGGTGGATTTGTCTTTTTTTTCCATGTGTTTGATGAAAGTTTGATGAAAGTTTGATGAATTTTGAATGTTTCAGAAAGATCGGATTTTCGGATTTACGGATACTATGTAATGAAGTAAGCCCAACAGTGAACATCAGTGAACCATCGATCGTAACTGGCCAGCCAAGTTGCTATTACAAATCATCCCAAAGATGGGTCCCAAAACTCAGCCCCTTTTTTGGGGGTGGTTTATGGCACTGGCTTTCCCGCACCAAAATGTGGCAAATTCCAAGGAGAAATTCCACCCTGGAAGAGAAAACAGGATATTAATCTCCACGTGGTTTGAAGCATAAATTAGGTGCAACATAATATGTATGTAACATAAAATGCAAAATTACAGTGGATAAGCTCAGGTCATGTACTTTTCATAAACAATATATAGTTATCCTTCTTTTTGTGTGGCAAACATCATGAAAAAATGGAAATATATTGTTTCGAAACCTAGGGATACACTACTGTCATGTTTCCATATGATTGTGGTACAATACCACATTCTTTTGAACAAAATGAGTCATCTTTGAAACACGACCTTAATTCATCTACAAGGCCTATTTCAGTTAGAAAATTAAGGAAACTCCCTGGTGTTCTCAAACAGGTGTGGTAGTACATAGCGATGTTGAAAGAGTTTGAGCTGCGCAGCGCAGCAGTTTACCAAAGAAAATGCAACACATTGAGCTAAAGGCAAAATTGCAAACGATATCAGTCAATGCAGTTTTTTTCACTTACTTTCATTACCCAAAGAGAAATATCTGTATATAGTCTATGAAGTTGTATGCCTGTGCCACATTCCCAGCAAACAATGCTTTGAAGAAATGAGGTTCTTCAAAGAAGTGCAGTTTTCCTTACAAAGCATCCACTTCAACCAAACAAGTTGTTGTCATTTACAAGCTGGTGGTTGCTTTTGAGCTAGTCAAATGTTTTCCAGGAAGAAATCTTTTGTGAAGGTTGGATTTTTTTTCCAAAAAAAAAGTGTTATCTACGATGTGTATTGTGTTCTAAAGTGCAGTATTATCCTGTCTTCTTCCTTTATCATGGTAACATTCCTTCAGGCAGATGCTGTTTTCTTCAAAGATTGAATACATAACTTGAAGTTGCAATCGTATTTAAACAGTTTAGTTTAAACAACAGAAACTGACAATATTGTGTCAAAATATGCAGTGTGTCCTTTAAAAATGTAACATTCCTCTCAAAGAAGCTCAGCTGGCCTTTATGTTTGAAAGTAGCACCGTTTCTTTAAAAAAATGCAACACTCCTTTCAAAGAAACCCAGTCCATTTGTTTGGAAGGAACACCATTTGTTTGAAGGAAATGTTTTACTCACCAAAAATCACCAAAGATAAACTTGAATCAGCTGCCTCTTTTGAAAGCTACACCATGATTTGACAATATGTAACAATCCTTTCAATCACACCATTTCTTTGTAAATATGTGACACTCCTTTCAAAGAACTCCAGCTGCGCTCGACTGGGACAGGAACACCTTTTGGTTGAAGGAACGGTTTCCTTCACCAAAAACATAATTTTACATCCCCAAAGGCTTCACACCTGAAAAGGAAACTTGCACATCCCCAAGGAATACTGCGCAAGTTTAGCATACAAGATTTTTTGAAATAATGACTTGACAAGAATTCCTGGGGGGGAAGATGAATCAGATTTGGTTTGGATTAATCTGGATTCATCTGGATTAATCCTAAGGAATCAAAAACCCAAAGAAACCAAAAAAACAATGTTTTCCAGACTAGTCTGAACATGCCTAAATCCAAGTAGTCCCCAAAACATTGTTTTTTTTAAAAAAAAAATTGGGTGGTGAACCACTCTAAGCTCCATTTCCACTAGAAAAGGTTTGTGTATGGACAGCAAAAGGCCAATATTGTTTGAAAAAAATGCCTTTTGCGCGCTCACAACAAGCCCTTCTGTATTTCTAATAGAAAAGGCTTGTGTATCGACAACAAAAAACAATGTTACTTCAGATCATGTAATATATTGACAAAAAAACAATGAATGTATACAAACAATTGGTGATTTCAGCGATGGCAACAAGCCTTTCTGACAAGTTTATAGTACTTTTACAGTTTTTTTTTGGGAGGGTCTAGGTCCTAGGTATAGTGTAATTGGGTTTGTCCGTGTTTCTATACCGTCAAGTGGCTATTTGATCAGGGAAAAGGATTATTAAGCAGTTCAGTTTTTGGGCATACCATATTTTTAAACAAACCCAATTAGAGACCCTGGCAATGATCTTTGAGACCGTATGTTATATATATATACAATATACACTACCTAGACATCCATTCGTACTAGAAAAAGTACTGTATCCCACCATGGTTTCGTACTACTTTTCATGAAAACGCATGAAATATGGCAAATCATTCAAATTTTGTTAACATCGTGATCTTGGTATCATTTTGCAACACAGTACTTTTTAGGGGCACGAAGCACAAACGGACAGAACAAACATAACGCAACTCGAGCGCAATTTGTACATTAGTCACTTTGCAAAAATCCACCAGACGAATTGTTTACTTTTGCTTTTGGAAGGCGACCACTTTTTTGTGAAGCGTCATCAAAATGTTGAAACGACAACTGTTCAATTCGCGTCACTTTTTTAAACTACAAATGGACGACCCGGTATATATATATATATACATATTCTACTATAAACCAAAGTACACAAGGCCAGACACGCGACGGATCCAAGCCCCATTGATTCAAGCGCAAACTCCTTGCCAGAGGGTTTCTACAACTATTTCGCAAGATCCATTGAGGGTCTGTAAAGCTTGCAAACATGAACTTTAACATCACACCGGTGTTCCCCATAAAACATAAAACACATGAATTACACTCTTTGAGCCCCAGCGAAAATTTGGACACACAGTGTGCCGACATCTTTGCACAGGGTCCTGGAAGCGATACATGGACTCCCAAAATGCCAAGTTGTGCTTTCCAGAAAAGGCCGAACAAAAAATTGACAGTCAAATCAGTCAACAATATCCTGGATGGATCTGATATCCCAGTCGCTGTCATTGGGGCATCAAACATGACCCAATCATAAAGAAATCCCAGTTGATCTATCTATCGGGGTGAAATCTGCAAGAAAGCGTGAAAAAAAAACCAAGACCCATTGATAATCAGAATTGTTGGCAAACAAACCGTGTTTGTGCATATAATCCCACTTTTTGTAGGGTAATACCACCACCATCAGCATATGCTTTTCAGATGGGTCATTTCGTCAGGTGACCAGCTGTGCGGAGGAACAAAAAGACGACCCTGGATTGGACCACCCAACGTTAGGGTTCATCACTGGTCGTCACCAGCAAACACGGCTGGGAAATCCACCATAGACAGGTTTTTAATGGGACAATAGGATGAAATTGGGGGGATTTTCCATTGCCATGTTTTGAGGGTAACCGGTAACCAACCAAAAGGGTCAAAAGCCCGGCAGAAAATGGATGCTTTGATCTTTTCCTAATGGAATACAGCTATATATATATATATATACATGTGTGTATCCCAACTGGTCATTGTTTATAATAGTGACAATAGATATGGAATACAGCAATCAGCAATATATGTACTGAGCTGCTTATTTTTTGAATGGTATCTAAGACTGGCCATTGTTTGTTGGAGGATGAGTAGACATGGCGTCAATGATGATGATATAAGTCATATTGGTGAGACACCTGTATGAGACATATGGAAGTTGATATTTTGCTTATTGCTGACAAAGGAAAATCGTCCATATATGATATATATTTTTTATATATATCTGTATACATATCCTCCTGTAGACATAAAACAAAATGTGGAACGGCCATGAAAAGCGACCAGAAATCTCGTGAGATCAGCATTCGTCGAAGCGGAAACTGATGCCACGGATTTGTTCCAGATCTTCGATTTTTACCCCAGGGTAGATTCATGTTACCATTTGGTTATTTAACATAGCCATGGTATAGATGGCCCATTTATAGATGATTTTCCCATTAAAAATTGTGATTTTCCATGGCGAACTGTTAAATAACCAGATGGTAATATACCTGCAGACCTATGGAAGGTGAGTTATCCCATGACCGGTGGCTTCCGGTGGCTTTGTCCAAGAAATTCTGACATTTCTGGGGATACCCCAAAGATGGCATTTTTTTTAGGAAAGTGATGATTTTTACCGTAGGATGATGCGGTACTTTATTTTCAACCAAACGAAACCATTTTTTGTTTTGCTTGAAATGATAATCCAGCTGCGTTCCCCAACATGACAAAGGTCCCTACAACTTGATCCGTGGCTCATCTTGAAACATGCAACCATGCAAACATCCAACAGCCGTAAAGGTTTCTACTTCAACTTTGAAAACATCGTTTGATCCTTTCAGACTTCAAAATTTCCGGGTCCATTTCGGAGAGAAAAAAAGACAGATATTTTTCAACGCGCGGCTGTGTGCTGAGCGTGATGCTTCAATGAGTGTCTGGGAGCCCTGGAGTTTTTCAATGGTTGCTGCACACATACAAACAAGTTGGGTAGATTGCACACAGGCGTGGTTATAATTGTTACAATGCACACATACAAACCACGCAAAGTTGGGTAGATTGCTGTCACAACAATAAATGTTACTTTGCGTGGTTTTGCGGAAAGTTCGTGTGATATTGGTGTAATATATATATAATTGGAACCAGAAAATATGGCCCTGCGGGTTCTGAAGCTCATGTCCAAGACTTTGCTTTCATGGAAGATTGGTAGAAAACTGACCCCTCAGGATTGGGAATCACCAACTCGGTTGCGTATCTGCATTGTGCAGTGCCTTCAACGTGGCCCCCGTTGCAGGATTCAAATTGGTTTATTACATGGTTTCATATATTTGTCATAAAG